GAAATTTTATCAAAGTTTTGAAATTTTGCAATTTTCATCAAATAATTAAAAACTTAAAACTCTAAAAATCATTCTAAAATTTTAAAGTTTAGATATTTATTCATATTCTAAAAATACTAAACATAACGTGCAGTTTTGATCATTTCGCTTTTTGAATTTTTTTTTTTTTTTTATTTTTGATTAAAATATACGAAAGAAGAAAGACTAAAAAGTGGACACGTGTTACAAGTGCGAAACGGAATAAGAATGGAACGGAACGAGATGAAATTAACCAAAACAAATCAAAACGAAAACAATAGTTTCTGAACAAACTAAATATAATAAAACAAGAGGCTAACTTGTTTGAACTACAGGGTGAAAATGAGAAATATGTTCTTTAAGTCGAAAAAATAATAACTAAGACACATGATTTTGACACACTTTGATTCTCTAACTGGCTAAATGAACAATATCCTGGGTTTTTTTTCTAGATTTTAACTGTTATCTTTAGTAAAGAACAATATTATATATGCCCATGAAGTCTCAACGTATATTTCAATATTGATCAAATTTAGCCTTTTTCGATTTCTATACTACTAAAGAAAGAGGCCGATTTCATTGAGCCGCAACTTCTCTGAAACCATACAAAGTCGGAAATATTTGTGATATGACGTATAAATGTAGTGTTTTGTATTTCCAAAATTTGTCTTTGAAACAATCTTTTTTCCACAGAAAACGCCAATTTTTGAGAAAATATCCAAATTCGGAGACCGTTATCAGTGATCGGTGTCTTATGCGCTTACGCTTGCTCAGTTGACGTGTTGCCCGACAACTCGGCCCACGGCCAACTCGCACCACTCAAACACTCTCACTTATTATTACAACTTGCATCACTTTATCAAACTCGCACCACTCAAAAAATAGAAACAGAACAAACTCGAAGAAATGTCACCCAACGGTTTAATCATTAGATTGTTTTCTTCTTCTCTTAGTAAATTCCTCCTTTCTCGGAGCACCCGTGTCACACAGAGACAGAACTCGCACCACTCGAAAAATAATACTACAAACTCGCACCACTGAAGAAATGTTTTAAATCATCAGAGAATTCTAGATCGTCTTCTTAATCTCTGATTTATTTCCTCCGTTCTTGGAGCACCCGTATCACACAGAGACAGAAGCTAATAATTGGACATTCAATCTCCTTTGGTAGAAATACTGACAAACTAATAAAAACTATCCTCATAATGCATCAGTGCATAAAAACAGTTTGAGAAGCACGAACCCAAGCTGTGTATCACCATAAACATTTCAAGTAGTCTTGAAGCCGCTAGTAATGTTAATTATCTGTACTGAAAGTATTTTACAATAACCTTGCAGTATTACGATATATAAGAATGCTCTGGGTGCTTTTTAAAACGGTATTTAGCACCGAGTACAGGGGATTCATAATCTTTTCAATTCTACATTGTATCTTATGCTACCTTTGTTTTTCATGTCAATGATATTTTATGATTGATAAATATTACAGTGGTAAACTCCTGAGTTTTTAAAAAAGGTGAAAGAAAACTAAAGAATAGCAGTGAAAAGTCTGAAAAATTTAATATAAACACAAATAATCTACTAAACGAGAACAAAATATAGTCTTCTCAATTCCATCTCATGCTAACTTTGTATTTACAGTCAATAATAAAATAATTGATACGTATTACAGAGGCGAACTCATTAGTTTTAAAAATAGGGATAAGAAAACTAAGGAATAGCAGTGAAAAATCAGAAAAAAATAATATAAAAACAAATTTTCTTCTATAAAAGAGATCTCCACGCAATAAATAAGATTACAATAACAAAACCCTTAATCCGCCCATGTACTATTTCCCATTGACAATAACATTTGAAGTGAATGGAATATCCAAGAATAATTTAAACAAAACATGACTGCATACGTCCGAAGCGCTTTTCTGTATTTAGCTCAGAGCTGACTATTTGGAAGCCAAGTAAATATAAGAACCGAAACAATTGAAGAGGTGTATGGCCAAAAGGGACATTAAAAATAGCAAAATCTATACAAGGGAAACTTTGGCAGATGGAGTTGAAACCTGAGTTTCTTTATAATTTATATATAAACGGTCTATTTAAAAAAAAAATATTGTAGGTTGCCAGTGGCAAATATTTCATGCATATTCAGGACGATAACAAATTAACAATAAATACAATAGGTAGGACCTATAATAGAGTCCGTTCAGGATGTAGGTCGGCAAATTTAGATTGCCACTGGAAAATGAGGGTATATTGGATATATATATATATATATATATATATAAACATGTCTAAATTGAAAACAACGTTCAAACCTATGATTGCGTTGGATAAAAACCGCATTTTTTATACGTATGCATGCAAAACAAATTTCTTGTTAGAGGTGATTAAATACAGCACAAACAACATTTTTCTAAAAGACCAAAAAAGTGAAAAAGTATATTTTAACAAAACGCATTTGACTAGCAGGCCGAACAACTGATGTTCTTAAACCCTGCTGACTGCCATTGGCGATTGCTAAATAAACGGATCACAAGATGTAACAAAATGGATCTTTATTATTAATTTAATACCAAACGGAAAACAATAAACTTGCGGAAAAGATGGTAGACCGCAAACATAAGGTGCAAAAATTTGTACACCATATCCGGATTTCGACATTTAATGTCTCTTCAGTGATGTTAGGAATCGAAACGGTATTTGGAAGGCCATATAATTTACCTCAATTTAGGATAGACTCTTGAATTTTGAAGAGTCGAAATAGGATGAACGGATCATATAAACCTGAAGGCAAATATAATACAAGTCCAAACGAAAAAATATAAATAAGTCTAAATTGAAAACAACTTTCAAACCTATGATTGCGTCGGATAAAAACCGCAATTTTTATACGTGTGCATGCAAAACAAAATTTCTTGGTAGAGGGGTTTAAATACAGCACAAACAACATTTTCCAAAAGACCAAAAAAGTGAAAAAGTATATTTTAACAAAACGCATTTGACTAACAGGTCGAACAACGGATGTTCTTGAACCTTGCTGACTGGCATTGGCGATTGCCAAATAAACGGATCACAAGATGTAACAAAATGGATCTTTATTATTAATTTAATACCAAACAGAAAACAATAAACTTGCGGAAAAGATGGCAGACCGCAAACATGAGGTGCAAAAATTTGTACACCACATCCGGATTTCGACATTTAATGTCTCTTCAGTGATGTTAGGAATCGAAACGGTATTTGGAAGGCCATATAATTTACCTCAATTTAGGATAGACTCTGGAATTTTGAAGAGTCGAAATGAGAAATTAAACCCATCCACACCCTCAGTTGAAGTATCTATTCTAATAGTTTATTACATTAATTCGTCTTTCAAATATTTTCATTTTCATTTTATCTGGATTTTTTCCCTCCATTTCACCCACTTCAATGTAAAAGGTTTTGATTTCAACTAATATTTTTAACTGCATTATCCCAACCTGAGACTAAAACTTAATTTGTATTTTAAAATTTCTGATCACTTGAACAGTGACGTCTACACATAAACCCCTTTATTTTATTTTAGTTTTTTTTTTTATTCCAGAAACAATTGCCATTTACCGATATTTTCATCTAACCGCTCAGTTATCACACATTCTAAGTTCACAGTTTCCCCAAACTATAAATAAGCGACATAATATTAATCCCCTCACAAAAACGCCTTCTGTAAATTTGTATCTCTAGCTTGTCTGATGAAATCTTTTTAACCATAAAAAAAATACGTATCGTGTGAAATGAAATACGTATCATATATACGTTAAGTCGTGTTCTCTTAAACAGGATACAAATCTGACTTCACATGAGGTAGAGTCTGAAAAGTAAAATTGCGGGGTGCCACCATGCAGTAAAAGAGGAACTGCTTACCCTTCAGTGGCATCTGAGTTCATCCCTTTTTTTGTGGGGTTTGTGTTTAGTTTTCTGTGGAGTGTTGTTTGACTTATCACCATGTAGGATTCTAAATCAAGATATCATCTACGTTAGAAACAAACTCTGTTTTTAAGTGTATATTTAGAAAAGCTAGTACGTGCGTAAATGGTAGAGGTCAAATGTTGAGAACATACTTTACTCTTGAAAGCAGCTCTTTTTTTTATATGACCGGAAACTATATATATACGCACCTGAAGGAAACATTGGATCTACGTCAATAAGACAGCAACCTAATGATACAATACCCATAATCTTATTTTTTTTTTAATTACCTTCAGTTTGTCCTTTACAAAATGCTTTCTGAAAGTGGATAACGTGATTTTTTAGTTTTGGTTCAATCTAGACGCCTTTTAATTAACTATCGAGATGACCTTCGAAGACTTCCGACAGTCATATAAACCGATATAAACATAGATATAAATAGATGGCGAGCACGTGCAAATGGTATTTTTCTAGGTCTGTTTGATTTCATATTATAGGTTGAAAAATAGGTCAAACATAGTTTTTACATGTTTAAGAAAAACTTTTGTGGATCGAATCGGTCAACAAAATGATTCACTCTTGTTTCACTTTCAAAATTTTTATTCTTTTCCTTTTAAATCTGAACATGTCTAGTACATGCCTAACACACTTCTAGCTAAGGGTTTAATTGAAGGTCACATGAATGCATTGTACGAGTTCAATGAGGTTAAAGAATTGACTTGGAAGTCAAAAATACATCAGCGATGTTTCCGATCTTAATTTGACAAATTTGGGTCAAACTGACTGCTAAGAACGAAATATTATTTCGAAGTTTTGCTTTTAACAATACTTGAAACAAAAAGAATCATATATTGTTTTGTCTCAATCGTAGCTAATGCCCCTTTAAAGACAAGCAACATTAAATTTATCAAAACAAAACTTGCAAGAACAAGAACACATCAAACAAATCTTTTGTATTAAGTGTCGATATTTTGAGTCAAACATTTTTCTATCGATTTATATAAATTGTCCTTTCATCTTCATTTTTATTCGGCTTTTTTTTTTCTTTCTTTTTTTTTTACTTTGTTTTGGTTTTGTTTTGGTTTCGTGGTGAATCCCCGTCCTGTTTTCTTTTGATAGTTAGATTTGTAAACTATGGCTTGAAATCATAGCACACCAATTCTCCTCGTCTATCATCAGATATACCAATAAGTATGAACACTTCTGTGTATGATATAAAGTTTATTACATATGTTGAATCAAATATAATTCACTGAATGGTTATTTTGATATACCCGTTATAATATATAGTAACCGAAAGAATATCATCAAGAGCTAATTTTCTGATTTTGTGTTTCAGTTTTATAATGTTTACACTGAACCAAATTAAAATCTTTTCCTTCAGATTTCTGTAAACAGCACCACAAACTCTGAAAAACAAATAAAAAAATAACGTAATTTGATCAAACTTACATACATGTATTTGTTTATCCGTTTAACTACTCCTTTCTGATGTTTCTGAAAATCTAAATATAATCGTTACTTTCGATACAGTATGTACCGTGTATCAATACGCAAGCGGCATCCGTTACTGTGTCGGCTTCATAGATACAGTGTCACGTCCTATTGTGGACATTATCAATTACAAGATTAAAACCTAATAGGAACCGATGACTGCCATATAACTGTATTTGAAATGGCTGTAAATATGAATATTACCTACTATACTACATAATACATGGATTTGTTTATCAGTTTAACTACTCCTTTCGGATGTTTCTGAAAATCTAAATATTACCGTTACTTTCGATACAGTATGTACCGTGTATCAATACGCAAGCAGCATCCGTTACTGTGTCGGCTTAATAGATACAGTGTCACGTCCTATTGTGGACATTATCAATTACAAGACTAAAACCTAATAGGAACCGATGACTGCAATATAACTGTCTTTAAAATGGCTGTAAATATGAATATTACCTACTATACTACATAATACATGGATTTGTTTATCAGTTTAACTACTCCTTTCTGATTGTCCCGAAAATCTAAATATTGCCGTTACTTTCGATACAGTATGTACCGTGTATCAATGCGTAAGCGGCATCCGTTACTTCGTCTGATGCATAGATGCATTGTCACGTCCTATTGTGGACACAATTAATACCAAGATTAAAACCTGCTTAAAACTCATGACTGTCATATAACTTGAACTGACACGACAGTACATATGCATGGATATTACCAATACATTCGATGCTATATTATGCGACCGAATGAATCTTTCCTGTTTCGGCTGAATGGATACACTGCCGTGTCCTTTGGGAGACATCATTAACTGCAATTTCAACCTGGTCAAACCCATCACTGTACAAAGTCATGACAGTCATGGTGACCCACCAACTATATCCTTGCGTATCGTTTCAAAAGATTTCCCCGAAAATGACCTCTAGATGTCTTTTAGTTTATCGTGTCGTTTGGTTGCTGTCTCAATGACGTATATCATAAATCTTCTTTTATTCATAATTTTTCTCCAAAGTTTGATAAATACATGTTTCTATTCCATACTCTAATATAACAAGAAAACAATACTTTATACCTTCTAAACTTATCACACCATCTTTATTTTTATCCGCCAATGAAAAGAATTCGTCACATTCCTCGTCTGATAACTGGTCTCCACAGTTGCGCAAAGCACGGTATAGTTGCCTCCGGTTTAAGAAACCTTTCCCTTTAGTATCAAAATATGCAAACGCTTTTCGAAGTTCATGTTCTTGGAAACTTGCTACTGCATAATGCTGTCGCATTAACTTTTCATACTCATAATAGTCAAGACTACAATCCCCTGTAGAATAGAAAAAATACTAGAATGATATTTAAATCATATCATGCAGTTCCAGTATGAAGGTCAAGATTTAAAAAAAAACAGCAATGATAACGATCGATAATGTTCATTCAATGTATTGTTTCCCAATGTTTCGTGAAATTATTAAGAAACAAGGTTCAAACTTCTGTCAGGCAAAGATGACATTTGACCGTTTTTGCAATTAGCTGTCCGAATTAGTCCTTTTTGTCGTATAGCTTCCACTGGTGAATTTGATTGAGACTTGCCATCTACATACATCGGATTTCTCTCAGCCATCCCCTAACTTCTTCCACTGTTGGTTTGAGGCCTACCGTCTACATCGGTTATTCCCAGCCACCCCGTAATTTAACACCTAACGTTTACATTCTGTTTCTCCCAGCCATCCCGTAATTTAACACCTATCGTTTACATTCTATTTCCCCCAGCCATCCCTTAACTTTACACCTACCGTCTACATCGGTTTCTCCCAGCCAACCCCTAACTTAACACCTATCGTCTACATCGGTTTCTCCTAGCCATCCCCTTACTTTACACCTACCGTCTACATCGGTTCATCCCAGGCATCACCTAAATTAACACCTACCGTCTACATTGGTTTCTTCTAGCCATCCCCTAAATTAACATCTACCGTCTACATCGGTTTCTCCCAGACATCCCCTAACTTAACATCTACCATCTACATCGGTTTCTCCCAGCCATCTCCTTACTTAACACCTACTATCTACATCCGTTTCTCCAAGCCATCTCTTATCTAAACACCTACCATCTACATCGGTTTCTCCCAGCCATCTCCAAACATAACACCTACCGTCTACATCGGTTTCACCCAGCCATCCCCTAACTTAACACCTACCGTCTACATCGGTTTCTCTTAGCCATCTCGTTACTTTAACACCTACCGTCTACATCGGTTTCTCCAAACCACTCCACTACTTAAAACCTACCATCTACATCAGTTTCTCCAAGCCATCCTCTAACTTAACACCTACCATCTACATCAGTTTCTCCCAGCCATCCCTTAACTTAACACCTACCGTCTACATAGGTTTTTTCTACCCATCCCCTAAATTAACACCTACCGTCTGCCTCGGTTTCTCCCAGACATCCCCTAAATTAACACATACCGTCTACATCGGTTTCTCCCAGCCATCCCCTTACTTTACACCTACCGTCTACATCGGTTTCTCCCAGGCATACCTAAATTAACACCTATACCGTCTGCATCGGTTTCTTCTAGCCATCCCCTAGATTAACACCTACCGTCTACATCGGTTTCTCCCAGGCATCCCCTAACTTAACATCTACCATCTACATCGGTTTCTCCAAGCCATCTCCTTATTTAACACCTACTATCTACATCCGTTTCTCCAAGCCATCTTATAACAACACCTACCATCTACATCGGTTTCTCCCAGCCATCTCCTAACATAACACCTACCGTCTACATCGGTTTCTTCCAGCCATCCCCTAACTTAACACCTACCGTCTACATCGGTTTCTCTTAACCATCCCGTAACTTTAATACCTACCGTCTACATCGGTTTCTCCAAACCACTCCACTACTTAACACCTACCATCTACATCAGTTTCTCCAAGCCATCCTCTAACTTAACACCTACCATCTACATTGGTTTCTTCTACCCATCCCCTTAATTAACACCTACCGTCTGCTTCTGTTTCTCCCAGACATCCCCATACTTAACAACTACCGTTTACATCGGCATCGGTTTCTTCTAACCATCCCCTTAATTAACAACTACCGTCTGCATCGGTTTCCTCTAGACCTCCCCTAACTTAACACCTACCGTGTACATCGGTTTCTTCTAGACATCCCCTAACTCAACAACTACCGTCTGCATCCGTTTCTCCCAGTCATCCCCTTACGTAACACCTACCGTCTATATCGGTTGTTTCTTCTAGCCAACCCCTAACTTAACAACTACCGTCTGCATCGGTTTCACCCAGTAATCCCCTAATTTAACATCTACCGTCGACATCGGTTTCTCCCAGCCATCCTCTTAACTTAACACCTACCGTCTACATCGGTTTCTCGAGCCATCCCCTACTATCTTCACTGTTGGATAGAGTCCAACCGTCGACATCGGATTCTCCCAGCCATCCCCTAACTTCCTCCACTGTTAAACTGAGACCTGTCGTCTATATTGGTTTCTCCCGGTCATCCCCTTACTTCTTCCACAATTGGATTCAGACCTGCCTTCTACGTCGATTTCTCCCAGCCATCCCTTAACTTAACACATACCGTCTACATCGGTTTCCCAGCCATCCCCTTACATATTCCACTGTTGGATTGGGACCTACCGTCTACATCGGTTTCTCCTAGCCACCCCCTAACTTCCTCCACTGTTGGATTAAGACCTACCGTCTACATCGGTTTCTCCTAGCCACCCCCTAACATCTTCCACTGTTGGATTGAGACCTACCGTCTACATCGGTTTCTCCTAGCCACCCCCTATCAACTTCCACTGTTGGATTGAGACCTACCGTCTACATCGGTTTCTCCTAGCCACCCCCTAACATCTTCCACTGTTGGATTGAGACCTACCGTCTACATCGGTTTCTCCTAGCCACCCCCTAACATCTTCCACTGTTGGATTGAGACCTACCGTCTACATCGGTTTCTCCTAGCCACCCCCTAACATCGTTCACTGTTGGATTGAGACCTACCGTCTACATCGGTTTCTCCTAGCCACCCCCTAACATCTTCCACTGTTGGATTGAGACCTATCAATTGAGCACCACGTAGTATTTCCTCCTCAGTTATTCTACCGTCTTCATCCTCGTCTAAAATTTGCCATGATTTTTTAATTTCTGTAATAAAGATCAAAACAAATTATCAAAATGTCGGTCTTTCGTGGGTGTTTAATGTCCCACACAGTAACGGAATGCTCCAGGTCGGACGGTTAAAATCCAGCGCTAGGAGAAGAAGAAGAAGAAGAAGAAGAAGAAGAAGAAGAAGAAGAAGAAGAAGAAGAAGAAGAAGGCAGCTGACGCCAGGGGGTGATACCTTATGGACCATAGGCATGTAAAATATGTGTAAATGTCTCGTTCGTACCTGTTTCAAAAGCAAACAAGTTAGCATCATAGGTAACTTGAATGCAGTGGATACCAGGGTACGATGCATTAAGGATATAAGAGGTATATATAGTAGTAAGCCGAGAACCAGCTTAATTGAAGAGCATCCACAAGCAAAATGGAGTAGTCACTGTAGTGTGGTTTTGAAAAAAAAAAACATAACAAAGATACTTTTTGAATTATATATTTGGAATGGCATCTTTTTAAGACAAGTGCTTAAAATATGCCAAAATCCATCTTAAATAGCTCTGTTCCATTTTTAAACATTGGATATCTAGAATTTTATGTTACCATAGCCCAAAAAGGAATGCACGAATCTATATTGTGAATCAAATAGCCATTTCAACAGCAGCAACAAAAAACACTACTGAATAAGTGAAAATTAAAACTTAACCACAGTGAAATAAAAAAAAGACATATGTGTTTAAGATATGTATATATAAAGGAATTGTCTTCAACTTACGGTCAAGTTGTTCCTCTGTTATTTCTATGCCACCAAAATCTACTTCCGAGTCTTCTGTGTCCAGACCATTAAACACTGTCGTTTTATGTGTAGATTTTTGTTTCGATTCTTTTTTATCATTCGAAGAATTTTTCATTATTGCTTTACATTCTGTGCTCGTTGTTTTATCTCTATCTTCCGGCTTTGGTGTTGATGTTGAATCAAGCTTTTCTTGGTCAACTTTTGCCAATTTGGAAGCCATTATTATCTATCATTGGGTATGTTCTTTCAGTGACTTTATAAAAATACACATTTATAAAATACAAATCAGTGTTAGATTTTATCAAATATGGTTTGTTAGCAGTGGATTTAAGACCACAATGGTCAAAAGAGTATTTTTAAATGTTAACTTGAATGTCCTGTAAAGATCACACTGGTTTATGATACTGTGATAAAGTATGACTATGTGAGGGTCTGGAGGGGGGGTCCTACATATCTTCATTCTTTATTTTTTCAGCCCACTATTGAGGGGCCTGATTGGGGGGGGGGGGGGGGTCTCATCACGATTCACGAGTTGATTTTTTTGTCAATCACGATTCACAGAAAATAAATTTCCATGATCACGGATCACGAAAATATAAAAAAAAATAAATCTGTAGAAAAACGGATCACGATAGCGAAAATGCGCCGATCACGAAGAACGAAAATAACCCATCAGGCCCCTCATTATTCTCTATTCTTTATAATTTAACACCCCATTGTTATCCATTTCCTTATCTTTTTTTTTTTACTATTTTTCTCTTTTCTTAACATTTCTACCATTTATCCTGCACTTTTTGTCCATACTTCTCTATTCTGTAAACCCCATTCAGACCCTCATACGTTACATTGTGTGATGGTCGTGAATACACTCCCCTAGAACCGTATCAAAAACAATGATATGAATTTTTAAAATAGTCTTTTTATTGGATATCAAATTTTAAATCTCACACCTATATATCAAAGATCTTTGTTATACATTATTTATATCCCGATTTGTTACATTGGTTAATTAGCTGAGAGATCAAATACCATTCTGTAATTTTAATCGTCTTTTACAAAATTATTCACGTGAACTGTTAATTCCAGTTTTTTACTCGATTCTGTTGAAGGCAACCATTTCTTTCAGGCACTAAATGTTTGACCAACGTGACTCACTCCTGGTATTTTTAAGTGAACATATTATGAAATACCATGATCTGATATTATCATCATTCTGTAAAACGATATAAACAAAGAACAGGTGTAGCAGTGTTGATTCTCGATGAAACTGGTGTAGCAGTGCTAATTTTAAATCAAACCGGTATAGCAGTACTTATTTTCTACAAAACCTTTAAAACGGGCTCATTTTCTATAAAACTGGTATTACGGACTCATTTTCTATAAAATCGGTATATTCAAGAATTCTCTAAATATACTGCTAAAATTTACCCAAAAGAGTTCTTTAAATAAATCAAATAGTAACAGCAATAACTACATGTCCTTTCCTAGATTTAGATATTTCAGTATTACACCAGAAACTCTACACACAAATTTACGACAAAAGGAATTATTTTTCTTTCCCTATTGTTAATTTTCCTTTTTTGGACGGTGATGTTCCTTTGGAACCGTCTTACTGTGTTTATATATCCAAATTCGTTCGCTATGCTCGTGTCTGTAGTGACGTTTTGGATTTCAATGGGCGTAATCTATGTATTACTAGTAAATTATTGAGTCAGGGATTTCGTTACCACAAATTACTTAAAACCGTTACTAAATTCTTCCATAGATACAAAGATTTGGTTTGTAAGTTTGGCTGTACCTGTAGAAAACTTATTTCAAACGGAATTGCATATCCTAAATTTTACGGTGATGTTGTTAACCGAGCCCGGAAATTTAGATAGTACGATCCGGGTAAACTTATAAATCCTTTAAATAAACTTATTCTAAAAGGTTACCTATTCAACACTGTAATTAAATCTTTGAATATTGTTTTAAATTGGTATAGATATTGATTGTGTTATCGGTAATTTAAAATCATACAAAATATTACACATATGTACTTTCACGGTACTACAATCTGTCAATACCTATATTTTGGCATTGCACAAGGTCATGTTTTTCTGTTAATGACGTCTTTACACTAAATCCATTGGATGTTGGATGTGTACTGATTGATATTTTAGTCTTAGATAAATGTTTTTCTTTATTAGTTGTTATTGGTTTTGAACTAGCTGTCAGTTACTCAGTGTACTCTCAGATCTGTACTTAGTGTCATTTTTGTTGTTAGGGATGAGGGATGGATATATACCTTGCCACGTCCTGTCTGTGTTTTTGTTTGATGTTTTTCTTTGTTTCGATCTGATGAATTAAGCCTTTTTCAACTGATTTTTATAGTTTGTTCTTATGTTGTGCTGTTACACCACTGTCCAGGTCAGGGGAGGGTTGAGCGCTCACAAACATGTTTAGCCCGCCATATTCTTTATGTGCCTGTCCCAAGTCAGGAGCCTGTAGTTCAGTGGTTGTCGTTGGTTCATGTGTCATATTTGTTTTTCGTAAATTGTTTTGTTATAAATTAGGCCGTTAGTTTTCTCAATTGAATTGTTTCATATTTTGCATGACGGGGCCTTTTATAGCCGACTATACAGTATGGGTTTTTCTCATTGAAAACCGATATAGCAGTGCTGATTTACTATAAAACCAATATAGCAGTCCTAGTTTTCTATAAAGCATGTATAGCTGTTCTAATTTTCTATAAAACAGTATATAATATGTTTAACCCCGCCCCATTCTTTATGTGCCTACTCCAAGCCAGGATCCTGCAGTTCAGTGGTTGTCGTTGGTTTATGTCATTAGCTTCGAGTCACAAAATTCTGTTTTTTAACCCTTTTTGAACCATGACCTTTAAAGAAATAATAATATTGTTTTCTGTACAGCATCAAATATTTAATTTCTGAATCATTTTTCAAAATTCGCAAAAAAGCGATAAATTCAATTTTTTATTCAAAAGAACAATTAATACTAGAAAGTATATTTGAAAATTGTCCTTTCATTTCGGAAAGAATGTGTTGAATTCTTTTCAAAATGACTTTCTTTATATTATTTTCTTCATTTTTCATATCCCTAGATGTGCCTATGTCCAAATTAACACTTGCCCACTGAGTAGATATGAGTGCCAATGAGACAACTTTCCATCCAAGTCACAACGGTCTAATCTATAAAAAAAACGAGAAACACTTATGAACCACATCAACAAACGACAACCACTGAACATCAGGTTCCTGACTTAGGACAGGTGCAAACAAATGCAGCGGGTTTAAACCTTTTAATAGGTGCCAACCTTCACCCTACCTGAAACACTAGTGTAACATCACACCATAGAAAGACACACAATAAAATATCAATTGAAATGGCTTAACTCAATCAAAAGACATAATAACAAAAACAAGTGAACATACACTGAACGAATAAATTTGATCTATGACACAATGTAAATACAATCACTGAGGGCTACATATATGGGTAGCCAATTGAACTTCTCTGTATAGTTCATAGAGGAGCTCTATGAGATATTCGGTATTGTCCAATTTCCAGTCTTTAACTGCATTTTCTTCGGTAGTATTTAGTCGACCTTCGTAGGTGTGGCGCATAACTCTGCAACGTGTATCTACTTTTTTCTTCTTTCCCTTTCTCTATACATCAATGCTTGTAATCTTCATTGCCGCACATACTTTTCCTTACTTCATTGCCTCACATACTTTTCCTTGCTTCATTGCCGCACATACTTTTCCTTGCTTCATTGCCAATAGAATCGTTATGTACGATATATTGAAATGTTTGTCTTTAATGCTTTGTCTGGTGTTAATTTGCACAGTGGAACCTACAATTCCATTATCTTTTACTGTGTTGAAAATGAACTTCCACTCTACCATTTCGTTTATGTTGTTCACAACATTTCGACTGTTCATTTCTTCTTCCATTTTTAGACGTTGTTAACAGAAGTGACACAACTTCATAGTTTGTTGACAGGAACTGCCACTTCTGAAACTTGTAACGCCATGTGAACTAATTTATGCACTGACCATTTTATTATGAAAGTAAATACACTTGTTCTCTTGTCAATTTTGTATTAAGTAGTGGTCAATAATTATATAAAATGTGAACAACAACCGTAAGTAGTGGTCAATAATTATATAAAATATGTTGAACAACCGTATTTCATAGGTACTTGACGACAGGACAATATTTGTTTAGCCCTCCCCCTTTTTTTCCAAAATCTGTTATTTTTTTGTTTTCTTATCAATTTCAATTATTTATATAAGGTACGAATGTGAGTTACCTTCTCTCTATATAATATATCAGTGAGCGCTGTGGATAGTAAACTTGGAATTGATAGTAAATAGCAAATACCAGTTATTTGAAGTATATTTATGTTCGTGTCATATAGAAAAACGCGAAAATTATTGAAATTTATAAGAAAACAAAAAATAACGGATTTTGGAAAAAAAGGGGGGGGGGGGGAGGGCTAAACAAAAATTGTCCTGTCCCCATGAACCTATGCCTGGTGTCATTTTTGAATGTTGATATTCTTTTCTTTTTTATGAATGAACATGCTGACCACAATCGCAACCCACCTCCACTTAAGTTAAATGACAGGTTGCATGAATTTGGATTCAAATGAGTTGAATTATTGACTTGCAAACCAATTTTTTTTTAACCTACTTTGACGAAATTATACCAAATAAATACATGGCTGCATGGAATAGCCAATACTGCTGAAAGTGGCATTAAAATGCAATAAATTGCTTCGCCAAGCGCAGCTGGATACGACCGCAGAAGGCCAACCCTGAACAGTTGGGGCAAAAATGGACGCAATATTCGTGCTTGATACAGGTCTAAATTTGGATTGTAATTAAATATTTGACACATAAAAGGTTTCTGACACAGAATAACTGTAGTCAAAGAACTTAGAATTGGTTATATGATTTGAATTTATATTCAATTTTTTGCTTTTGTGCAATACACTTTGCTGTTGCGAATTGACCCCCCCTCCTTCCCCCCACAAAAAAAAAAAATTAACCCCCCCTTTTTTTTTTTTGCATTTGTGCAATACACTATGCTGTTGCATATTAACCTGCCACCCCTCCCCCCCTCCAACTTTATTTTTGCCAAAAAAATAATATTTGAAGAATTTTTCTTTTTAATTTCTGAAATCTAAAATGAGAAAAAATTGATCCCCCACAATTTCTTTTTACCCCCCCCCCCCTTTTTCCCCAAAAAAAATTCTTCCCCTCAAGATATGGTCATAATCTCAATTCAAATTTCCAATGGAGTTTGCAACCATAATTACCCATTTAAATTTACCATAGTGCTAACTGAATCTATTTTATAATGGAATTTAAAATATGGTGTCAAATATTTCATATGGATTTTTTTGTAAAAAAAAAAGATGCAACATTTGCAGATATTTTTACTGGTCTTCCTTTATAAATATGCATTTCTTTAAACATAATTTAGAAGCAGTGTAAGGGAGGTAATCAAAACGTTGTATTTGGATTACCTCCCTTACACTGCTTTAAATTATGTTTTGTACTAAAGTATTTGTCCATTAATCAGGACACCCTTGTTTTTCCCCCTTTTTTGCCCCTAATTCCTAAACAGTTTGAGCCATAACCCCCCAAAGCAAATCCTAACCATCCCTTTGTGGTATGGAAACTTGTGGTATAATTTCAGAGAGATCCATACACCGTTCCACAAGTTATTGTCTGGAAACTAGAAAAATGCTTATTTTTGGCCCCTAATTCCTTAACTGTTGGTACCATAACCCCCAAAATCAATCCCAACCTTCCTTTTGTGGTATTGAACCTTATGGTAAAATTTCATAGAGATCCATTCACTCTAACTAAAGTTATTGTGCAAAAACCAATGTGCCTTTGGACGACGACGCCAACGTCATACCAATATACGATTTTTTGCGGTCGTATAAAAATCAATCAGACCTGCCAAATACAAATAACAACCTCATTGAATGAGAATTTGCACCTCACAGGAGAGATGAAATGAATTTAGACTAATTTCAAAGAGAAACAAGTTTAAAAGTCATTTCGAGTTTCTAGTTTCATCACTTTGGCTGAAGATTCAAATAAATGTAATAATTTCAGTGACAAAAGATGCAAAAAAAAGTATTCAGCTTTTGATCACTTTCTTTTTGGTAACAGTTAACCAGAACATACAAGATGGCTTGTGATGAGGGTGTAGATGGGGTCTTCCATTTCTGCATTTAAAATTTTTGGCCCATTATTCTCTATTCTTTATATTTTAGCACCCCATTATCCTCTATTCTGTATTTTTGGTCCATTTTTCTCTAATCTTTAGTTTTCACCCCCTTTATTCTGCATTATTCTCTTTTCTGTAAACCCCATCCAGACCCTCTGTAATGACAGGTAAAAACATGGAACATGAGTGTTCCCTGTGTGAAACAAAATAATTGGGAAAACAGTTTTACAAGCCTGCATATACATGTATGAACCATGCGAATTGGCAAATATGGTAGTAATAATTTATGTATGTAGAAATAAATGAATACAACATGCTGGATATCTAACACACCTGGTGTAACACAAATCAAACATATTCAACGTCAGACAAAAGTTGCAAGTCTGATTCCATAATCAGTCTTGATGTAAATATTGCACTTTTTCAGTCCAAGTCTTGAAGAGGGATGATAATTATACTTTTTTAGTATCAGCATTATCTTATTCTATTGTTTTTGGTTGTGTTTTAATTAACATTCACTCAATCTTGTTCATTCCAAATCTAATAATTTTTCGAAAGGCCAATAGGACTATTCCATAAAACTTGAAGTTGGAGGGTAAGAAATTAAGTTTTATTTAGGTTTAAGGGTCATTTTTGTTTAAAACATATTATATTAGCAAAATAACTTAAAAGAAAGCAAAAAAGGTTGTGGGGGTATTTTCCCTCCCTCAACCACTCAAATGAATTAGTCAATGACAAAATTTCACAAAAAGCATAACAAAGAATAAAAATTTCACTCAGTTTATTTAGCACTATACAAACATGTCAAAAATCCATGTTCTTCATCAGCACATCTCAAATATTCATCACAAAATATTTCTTAAATCTCGAAATATTTTTTTATCAGAAACTTGTTCAAATTTCTGCTCCAAGATATTTTTCCAAATTGATACATGATTAATGATGGCACATATCTCCAAATTATACAAATTAGAATCAAACGAATATATATACCTTCGAAAAAATTTCTTGGTCAGAAATCTGAACATTTTTCAATATAAATATGTGGCACAGCCATAATTTTCTAAATTTTAGGAGCATTATTTCCTTTATAAATACAACCAATCAAATTAAAAACAAAACTCTTAACAAAGTTTCCACATAACTTATAGAAACATTTCACCAACATTATCATGATTATTCATTATAAAAAATTTCAGATCTGTTTTTCTTGCTATAGTTGCCGTCTAAGTAAAATTTGACTATTTCAAATTCTGATCTAAATGAGTTGCCAATGGGAACAAATTTTACCCCCACCCCAACCTGTTTCAAACTGGAAATACTGTGCAAAATGAATAAAAATTTGGCACATTGCTCTTCTTTCATACATATTTGTTATTCTACCAATTTTCTTTTTCTAATGCCTTATTTCTTCCATAAATCCATCTTATACAAAATAAATGCTTTAAAAATTTTGTTAAATTCACAAAATGTCAAATGGTCAAATTGTCAAAAATAATATCTAAAGTTTTCTAAGACAAACTGTCATTATTCATCGCCATAATGTGCTTTGACTTTGTGTAATAACTGATCACATGTTTTCTTAGCATCTCCTAACAACATACTGGTGTTCTGTTTAAAGAAGATTGGATTATCTACAGCTGCATAACCAACACCTAAAGTTCTCTTCATCACTATCACCTGTAATCATATTAAAAATAAAAGATCAGAGGTGCAAAAAGTTAATTTTCCAAAATTGATTGATTGTTGGTGGTGTTTAAAGCCACTATTAGCACACTTGGTTATATCCCATGGCAAGTTTTTTATTGGATGATGATGATGATGATGTGATGGATGGCTGTTTAATGTCCAGCTGCAAATTAAATGCATATTCAGGACGAGATCATGTTAATGAAATATAAATATTAGCCCTGCTTTTGTACTAGACCGACATGCTGAGTCAGATTTTTAACATACTAGTTCAGAAGGTAACAGTCCGCAGGAAGACATCTCACTCTATCCAGACACATTATTTTGATTTTTGTTTAGTGGAAAAGAGGCAAACTCTGAAGCCTTTGGATTGAACGAGATGGGGTTTCAAACCCACCCATGATGCCTTGCAATGGAGGCTAACAGACTACAAAATTGTTGATCAGCACGGTTTTTCGAACTTGTCTGAGACATTGCTGATATTAACCTATTATAAGTTTTATACAAATCTGGCAAGAATTGCACATGTGAGAGCGTTAACAAGCCCAGACGGGCAGGCACACGGCTGGTATTTCCATTTCCACGGCGACGTGTAACACTGCGGAAAAAAAGTAATCTGTGTTTTCTGTTTTCGATCTCATAAAAATGTTTTTAGAAAGAAAGTTTGTGTAATCTCTCCTTTTGAGCAATAAGTTTTTTGATAACAATTTGAACACTTACATGTTTACTGCCCCAGACCCTTAATACAGGCATGCCAGCAATGATAGAGTTGGGATCTTCTTCTGCTGCAGAGTTAACAGTGTCATTGGCTCCAATAACAAGGACTAGATCTGTATCTGGGAAGTCATCGTTAATCTCATCCATTTCTAACACAATGTCATAGGGTACACCAGCTTCAGCTAACAGTACGTTTAACTGACCAGGCATACGTCCTGAAATAAGAAAAAAAACATATTTGCTGAACATTTTATATTTAAGCTTTTGAATGTCTATGTGTTATTGTGCATTAGATTGATTGATTGATTGTTGATGAATTGATGTTTGAAATGTCCAGTGGAATATCAGGACAAGAACATGTTATTAATGTGATAGAAATATATACTAAATCGACTATTTAGTTTTTCCTTTATTGTTATGTCATAAATCAGGCCGTTGGTTTTCACGTTTGAATGGTTTCACATTTTGACATGTTGTGGCCTTTTATGTCTGACTATACAGTTTGGGTTTTGCTCATTGTTGAAGGCAGTACAGTCACCTATAGTTGTTTACTTTCACGTCATTTGGACTCTGGTGGATAGTTGTCTCATTGGCAATCATACCACATCTCCTTATTTTACATGACCTACAGAAATACTTTTAAGTGGACTAATGTTTATTAAACAAGTACCGTATAGCGGGTTATTTTCGCGGGGTGTAAATTTTCGCTTATTTTCGCGGATAGAACAAAATCGCCAAACTAAATTCCGCCAAATTAAAAGTGTACATGCAACGGTATTGATAAAAGTTTTGAATCCGCCAAAATAATAACCACCAAAATATTTCGTATACTAAATTCAGTAAAAATCGCGAAATTTTACACCAGCGAAAATAACCCGCTATACGGTATTTTATGTTATTTTGAAATCAACTACTATATTTTATACAGACATTGAAAATTGTCTATTTTTAACTGATGTATATAGACTATATATTATACCTGCAACTGGATGAATTCCAAAACGACAGTTGACACCCTTCTTTTTCAGATAATCTACCATCTCAGCTATAGGGTATTGAGCCTTGGCAACACAAAGTCCATATCCTGGTGTAATAATGACATTTTTGGCTTCTGTGATCATCTCAACTGCTTCATCAGATGTCATTTCTGTGTGTGTTCCTGTGATTTCCATTGGTTTTCCACCGGCTGTTGATTTTGTTCCATATCCTCCAAAGATGACATTGGAAAGGGAACGGTTCATGGCCTAGAAAAAACATGTTGGCAAATTAAAGTACGGGAAGACAACAATTCAATAGCAGTACATTTCTGAAGATTTGGATAAAATAAAGGAAATTCATTTAAAAGAAAGACTTTGCACATTTTCAATAGTAAACATAAGCCATATACGTATATAAAACATATCCATCTTTTTTGTTAAATTTGAAGGATCATACGACTTTAAATCATTAGCTAATGGAATTTAATAAACTGCATTTAAAAAATCATTTTTAGATTGAAAGGGACACAAAGTTCTACTTAAATTAAAATCAATGTAGAATTAAAACTATCAGATGTGGAAACAGAAATGTCAATGTAAGTAATGTTATCAACTGCAAACTTCTATAGATGTAATATATTCTCTTGTAGATTAGTGAAATAGATGATGTTCCTTCATAGTTATCATGAATATGCATAAACTTGAAAACTCAAAATCCCACTGATATCAAAACTATTTAACTATACTCACTACACACATAATGTATGACAGAATGGCTCCAGATGATCCAATCAAGGACCCAATGATGGTCATCAAGTTATTGTTCAACATAAAACCTTCAGCACACAATGCCCAGCCAGAGTAACTGTTCAGGACGGTAATAACAACAGGCATGTCAGCTCCTACAATTATAAATTACAATTTAGTCCCAAAATATCTACTTCATGACTTTATTTAGCAGGGGAGTTGGAAAGTGCAGTGCAATTCCCCCTTTTGGGTGTGGCCTTGAAATATTACATTTGAAGAATTTTTGTACTTATATATCCAAATATATACAAACAATATGTAGTAGAATTGTGAGTTGAGTGTCCTCCTTGCCGCACAATACTTTTTACTTTTTGTATATCAAAGTAAGTAATTTCAATTATCTCCCCTTTTACATGTTGGACAGGGATTAAATTTCTTAAAGCTCACCCTAAGATAGAGTTCTACAACTAACTCAAGTTTCATCAATATTTATCTATCTTTTCAGGAGTTGTGTTGCCTGAAGAACAAGGGGATTCTAAACCCATCCCCCACCAACCCATAAAAAAAATACCAAAAAAATATCACATTGTTGGTGTATGAGATATATTAAAGTATGTACACAATTTGATTTTATAGTTTCAATTTTTCAAAAAAAGGATCTGAAAGTCCTCTCTCCTTATTACTTAGTTAAATTTATAGATCTGGGGATAGACTAAAAAATATCTTATATGTTACAACCAGTTACAAAGTGCAACAAGGATCAGTTGTAACACTTACTTAGTCTATTAAAACAGGAAATGCATGGCAAAATCCTACAATAGAGACTAAATCAGATTTTCCAAAGACAACATTTCTATATTACCTCCAATAGCAGCTGTGAGTGTAACGCCCATTACACTGGACAGAGCTGCTGTGGTTCCAAGACAGGTCATCTGGACAGTAGGATTATCACTGACCATGAAGGTTCCCATAGCTCCGACATTGGTAGCCATCATACCGGCATTGAGGAGATTCCTAGCAGGAAGCATCAAAGGTTCAGAACTCAACACACCTGTAAATAGACAGTGTGACACATTATTGTACAACACTTGATACTGATCAGCTGCAACTCAAACATCTACAATACAAAACATTTCAATTTTGATTTTATCTATGAACTGCTCCAGTTGACCTGGGTTCATTTGGGGGAAAATGTGTCATAGGGCATTGTGACGTAAAGATATTTGATTTGGGCCGTCAAATTTTTCTGGGAAAAAGCACTAATTGGATGATCATGTAAACAGCACATGAAGATATGGTCATTTCAACCTAACCACCATGCTGATAGTTATAAGGGTTAAGTGCATGGACAAATGAGAAATAGAATTGCCATTTACGATGAAAAAAAAAAAGTTTGCATGTTGCTTTTTCATCAATTTGCACAAAACAGAGAATAACGAATGAACTTCAAGCATGAAAACCTGTGAAATAAAAATTGTAAACATGTTGCACCAAAATAACCCTTTACCATGCTCCACTATACTTGCACTATATTTTAATATTTAAATTACCCTGAAGTTTTCCGAAAGCAACAAGTGATCCTGTGAAAGTAACGCCACCAATGAAAGTTCCAAAGTACAAGAAGGTCTTGATAACATTAGCTGCTGGGTCAGTAGCAAAATGAGGCTGCTCCAACATATAATTGGCAAAGCAAGTAAGAACAGCTGCAGCTCCTACTAAACTATGGAACAAAGCTACCATCTGTGGCAAGTCAGTCACCTCAACCTTCTTTCCACCAATGACACCAATTGCCCCTCCTGTAAAATAAAACAATACAAAATAATACAAAATATCTTTCTTACAAGTTCAGGGAAAAGTGAGTGAAAATATTGACTTCAGAAAAATTGTTGGACATATAATTCCTCACTGCCAACATTTCATCAAATTCAATATTTTAACTTTTCGTACAGGTCTGATAGCTGGTAAACATGGTTTTCTATTTCCAGCCAAATGAAGTGAAGAAGTCCAAGTTATTGTCCTTGTAAATTAACCAAATAAAAAAGGAAATGAAGAAAGAATTTGAAGCCATTGTAGTGTATGAACCATACATGTATGTAAATTTTTTTTCTATGAAAATGGATGATTTTTAAGTAATGATAGGGTTCGAAAGACATAATTTGAGTTTGACAACAAAAGGGAAGTAACTCTTGTTCAAATTGTGTCAATCAAAACTTGTATGTTGTGGATTTTTTTAAATTTTATTTTTAGATTATCAACTTACAAGCAACATCTCCTCAAAAATCACAAAGTGCAGGGCCACCAAATGTATTTGAAATTATTCTGTTCAGTAAGACTGAAGAAATGTTTGATGAAAATTTTACGTCCAGGGAGTATAGCGACAGACAAAATTAACAAGGTGATTGCAATTAAGCCCACTCAAAAGAGTTGGTGTTTAATAATTTCAAGTTGAGTGACACAGGTCATATCATTTTGGAATTTTCTAATAAACAGTTTATGTCACTGAAAATGTGTGGTTCTGTGTCATAAACTTATTTTAATACTACTGTATTTCATAAACTGATTTTTATTTTTTTGCCTGCTCGATGTAAAACCTGTGAAATATCAAATAAAATCTAAATTTTATAAAAAACAAAAGGGAGCTCACGTCAATAGATATAAACAATTCACCAAAGTTTTATGCAAATTGGTTAAAGCATTTATGAGTTAATGTCCGACATGTTGACGACGGACAGACAACGGTATACCATAATACGTCCCGTAAACGGGCGTATAAAAATACATTAGTATTAGAATGCTTAGAAATGCCACAGTTTTGCACCAACATTTACTGATGACTATTTACCTGCTCCCATCAAGGCTGCCATCTGTACAAAGTTTTCTAGGGAAGGTTGCAAAATACCAAGTGTAGCAGTAATTCCTCCTGACACACCAATCATACCAAGAGCATTTCCTGTAAAAATAATAACAAACACTAACCAGTGTAAAATTTCTATCTCAACTAAAATATACTTCTGAAGAATATGCCATTTTTTATAATAAACAATGACTACTTATTCTTCAATATATTTTGAAACAGTTATTAAACGTTTAAATACAGTTATGTCTTTCCTTCTTGTAATGTTGTAATGTCTTACCTTTTTGTAAATGTTGTAATATTTCACCTTTTTGTAATGTCATAATGTTTCACCTTCTTGTAAATGTTGTAATATCTCGCCTTTTTGTAATGTCGTAATGTATCACCTTCTTTTAATGTCGTAATATCTCGCCTTTTTGTAATGTTGTAGTATCTCGCCTATTTGTAGTGTTGTGATGTCTCTCCTTCTTGTAATGTTGCAAGTAGAATGCAAATTCAAATCAACACTTTTAACATGTGAACTATGCAAAAGTTACAAAATCAATTGACCAAGACTGAAGAGAGAGGTAAAATAAATCTCCAGTAAAAAAAAAGTATGCCTTAATTCAATGGATATTGCAAAATACATACCAACTCTAGCTGATTTCTGTGAGGACAGTCCAGTCAATGCTCCAACACAGCAAATACCAGAGGCTAGGTATGTCATGTGATGAATCTCTGGGAATGAATTCTGCATTGCTCCATAGCCATAGGCACCAAGGAACAAGACTCCTGGGATACCATACATTTTGTTGTATTCTGGTGGATCAGCTACAAGCACACAAATGTCATACTTACATACATAATCATTCAAAAAGTTTCATGAAATAACACCATAACAATTTTTTTTTCAGGATTCAAGACAATTACTTGTATCTTATCTGTTATGTTCTATTTTCTGCAATGTGGCCATACTGGTTGGCGATTGGATCCATTTATTTAAACTAAATACTCTATGAATGTCGTAGGCTTTGTACTTTCAGAGAACTCAAATCAAATATGTTCTAACAGTCTTGATAGTAGCTAAAGCAGTGGCTGAGTACTTACTTGGTCTTTTGAACATATCCAACATTCTTTGTGTGACTACAAAACCACCTCCGATGTTGATAGATGAAATGAAGGCAGCTGCCGCTGACAGAGCCTGAATGGTGTTTGATGGGAAATAACCACCACCCATCAGTAACAAACCTCCGACAGCAGTGGTCCCAGAGATAGCATTGGTGACAGACATCAGTGGGGAATGTAGGGCTGGTGTCACTCCCCATACAGTGTGGTATCCTGCAATAAATTACAATGACATTTCATACAGATGTTTAACTCAAAATGTGCTAATTTCAAAAGCATCTTTTTTTGTCTACCAAATCGCTTATATTGCTCTGACTTTTGACAGCCTTCTATGTTATTAAACCTATAATTTTCTGTTAACCATAATATAAAGGAGAAATCTAATATTCTAATAAGTTTTCTCTATTTCAATTAAAAGATATTTCAGCATTATTAAACAATGCTTTTATATAGTGTAAATTCAGAAATTATTGCGTGCATTTATTATTGGGATTTTGTTACTTTAGACTAAAATGCGTTTTTTTTTTTTGCGATATTGAGAAAAATCCTGTTTAATTCATATAAAAAATGTCAAAATGCGAGTTTAAATAATTGCGATTATTACCCTGTCGCATTTTTCGCAATAATAAAAACATCGCAATAATTTCTGAATTTACAGTACTGTAAATTCGATTAACTTTGTGTGCATTTAATAATGCAATTGTTGATTATGCACAAAAATGCAGGATTAATTTTTGCTATTTCAGAAAATGCTGCAAACAAATAGTGAAGTAAATGCAATCAAATTAAACCTATCCCATTTATAATTGAGCAACAATTAAAACATTGGAAAATTTTTAATTTATAGTAATTTTTGTGTTTGGTATTTTTTCACAAAGGAATGTTTGGATCATTTAAGTACATTGTGTTAAAATCGTGATTTGAAATTTGATCATGCTTATAAAATCTAACTCTTACCCACAATACATGACAGACCAAATGTCGTAACCATGGTAGCAAAAGCAGGACTAGGTGAGATACAGCCAAGACCTACCATACCAGTAAGACCTACAGAGTACTGGATACTTTCATTCAGCTGGATCTTGAATTTGTTTGGTGGAATAACTTCCTTCACTACAACTTTTGGTGGTGGAGGTGCCACAGCATCTAATTTTGGTGGAGGTGCAGGTGGCACCACTGATCCCTATCAAAAAAATAAAATGTTGATAAAATTCTGGCCTTTTTAAAAATGTGAAGGGCATTTTATTCGAGGGTAACCTATACCCACCAACTAAAATTGGATCCCGTATATGATAATTAATAGATAGTAACTTAAATTTGTTCATTCATATTGCATTTCTATTCAATTTCTGGATATCTTACTATCAATGTAAAATGTTGATAAAATTTTAGCCTTTTTTAAAATGTGTAGGGCATTTTATTTTGACTTTTTCTGACAGATTTAATTCAATTGCCAATCTTTTTTTTAAGATATTGATTTTTCGATGGTGTATTCATATTTTCTTTTTTGAACATTGTATTTCAAATTACCTCATAAGAAGTAATTCTTACGACTTTCAAATATCAAATTTAATAGGCTCTTTTTAGTTTTGTTTTATTCAAAGATTGGTTTTATATGCTTGTTCTTTTTCATGTCGTTAATTTGAACTTTTATATAAAATGACTTTCAGCAAATCAACATAACTCTCATAGTGCTTTTTATTTCATTACTCTCTGATTCTGTTATAAAATGCACTGAAAAACATGAAAAAGACATGTTTTAAATCAATGATTCCAGTGAACTTATTCAATGGTGATTTTACAAGGTAAACTGATAAAGCTCAATCTGACACAAATTACATTATTTGAAGTGTACAGTTATGTATGTACATATATAAACAGATCAACTAAAATTGCTATGTGCTTCCATCAAATAATGTAAACATACTTACATTTTGTGTAACAATTGACCCTCGTACTACTTCATCTTCAAGATTTATATTAAAGTGTTCTTTCTCTCCTAGAAAACGACATAAATTTAAAATATATTATCAGTTATCTACCTTTCTTTAAGTTCTGACTTTTAAAATAAAGTTACTATTTCTCTTTTGATTTAAATCCTTCGCTAAATTAACTAGAACAAGCATTGTCTGAGTCAATGATTAAAACGTTATTTACAAGTATATTACAAATACCGCTACATTGACAACAACACTTAAGTAAACTGCATTTACTTAAGTGTTGTTGTCAATGTAGCGGTATTTGATTTTTTTATTTGACAACCCTGCATACCATCTGGTATCCACTTAAGGGAACTCTACCAGCACAAAACATAGGAGGCGTTGGTTCAGCAGCTCTTTATTTAAGTATATTACAAGTAATACCAAAATTTTGGGATTTATGATCTTTTTAATGACATATTCCAGAAAAAATATATGGGGGAGGGGAAGGCACTTGAACTATTTTCGTATGGGTGGAGGCAGGTCACGAAAAATCAAATTGTGTGGTTATGTATGCAAAGTCAAATGCAATTATTTGGCTGAAAGTGACTTCCATATGATCTTTGCCCATGTTTCAACATTACATGTATGTAAGCAATTTCTATATGCAAACATTTATGCAGTTTAAATGCAGAAGAGCTCTCATTGTACAAGTAGTGAAAGTAAAATGGCTTTGAGCTTGTGCTCATGACTATCTTGTGATATATAAAAAAAAAAAAGTACATGTATTTCTTTAGTATATGCTTTCAATGAAACTCAGAAAAAGTACATGTATACAGATGCTGCATCTTTTTAAAAGGGACAGGGACCATACCATACAAAAATGAAGAGGATTACATTCTAGAAAGTAAGTTACTTCTAAACAAAGTACTCCATTTGAAAGAAATCTTTAATATTTGTTATACCATATGGATAACATACCTATTGACAGTAAGAACTTTGTAATATTGTTGGCGTATAATGTACTGGACTGTGTTGGTAATCGGCTAGGTAAGTCGGTGTATCCTACATGTGTTACATCATTGTATCTGTATAATTCTCCTGGTTTAATGGTCTCTACGTTGCCACCAGCCTCCGCTGCCAAATCTACTATAACAGATCCAGGCTTCATTGCATCAACCATAGCCTAGAAAATATTTGATTTCCTATCCTATATCAAATCATTACATACACAGCTTACACACTTGCAAAAGATTTTATTTAAGTTGTTTTGTGGTTGTTCTATTAAAAAATTATGAAATCTGCAATCTTTTTTCAGGATATTAAAATATACTCAGACCTGTACTTATGTTCTTCAGTGTTTTTGTACTTTGTATCAATCTGATGAGTTGAGCCTTTTTCAATGGTTGTTGTTGGAGTTTTCTCGTTTGAATTGTTTAACATCATGTTATGTCAGTGCCTTATATCATTTTATTGGCATGACCTTTTAATAATAGCATTGCTTTTTGAATACAGTTTGGACAAATACTGTAAATTCAGAAATTATTGTGAGGTTTTTATTAATGCGAATAATGCAACAGAGTGAGTATCCCAATAACAATAACTCGCATTCTGATATCTGATACATATATCTGTATGCAGATTTCCTGAAATAGCAATAATTAATCTCCCATTTTTGTCCATTTAAAAAAAATCGCAATAATAAATGCATGCAATAATTTCTGAATTTACAGTAAGCAACAGAACTTTGTGAGTTTTCATCCATTCCAGCATTATGTTCAGCACATTGACAGTAGATATCTAGTTGAAAATTATTTGGGTATACTTAAATAAACTGCTTCGCTGAGCGCAGCTAGATACGCCCGCAGAGGTCCAACCCTGAACAGTTGGGGCAAAAATGGACACAATATTCAAGCTTGATTCAGGTCTGAATTTGGATTGTAATTAAATATTTGACATATTATAGGTGTCTGAATAAATGTATTCAAAGAACTTGAAATTGGTTATATGAATTGAATTTATGTTCAATTAAAGATTTCTTGCTGTTGTGCAATACTTAGTAAATCTGTTGTCAGACAATAAACAAATAAAGTATAATTAATTCTCAATGTCATATTAGAAATTTATGAAAATAAAAAGGGAGCTTACATCAATAGATATAAACAATTCACCACAGTTTCATGAGAATTGGTGACAGCATTTTTGAGTTATTGTCAGAAAACTGGAAAATCACCCCTTTTTAATGAATAAAACCCCATAACTCAGAAATGTAAAATGTAAAATTTATAAAATTCTAAAGGGAGCTTACATCAATACATACAAACAATTCACCAAAGTTTCATAAGAATTGCTGAAAGCATTTGTGAGTTTTTGTCTGATAACTGGAAAGTCCCCCCTTTTTTTATGAATAAAACCCCGTAACTCGGAAACGTAAAATCTAAAATTTATAAAAATCAAAAGGGAGCTCATGTCAATAGATATAAACAATTCACCACAATTTCTTGCAAGTTGGTGAAAGCATTCTTGACTTATTGTCCGAAAACTGGAAAATCCCCCTTTTTTTAATGAATAAAACCCCATAACTCGGAAACGTAAAATCTAAATTTTATAAAAAACGAAAGGGAGCTCACGTCAATAGATATAAACAATTCACCAAAGTTTTATGCAAATTGGTTTAAGCAATTTTGAGTTAATGTCCGACATGTTGACGACGGACGGACAGAGGTATACCATAATACGTCCCGTAAACGGGCGTATAAAAACTATGAAATTAAAGGGTGATTGATTGCAGACTTTGTGTATTGTGTATTGTTTTCTCCTTCATCCAATCTTCAATTATGTCAGAGCGACCTACTTATGTTTGTGTGTACCTTATACATTTTTTAAAATGTCATGTAACATTGTCACTCTTTTGTTTGATATAGGATAAATGTTGCTTATTTACTTTGTTACCTACCTGTGTTATGAGAATAGGTGCCTTTTTACCAGGCACTAATGCTGTTGTGATGACTATGTCTACTTCTTTACACTGTTTGGCATACAGAGCCATTTGAGCATCTCTGAACTCCTGTGACATCTGACTTATATCCTTTGCATAACCTCCTTCTCCTGCACCAGATTCCTGAAACAATTTCAAATGTACTGATAAAGTTCTGTGTTCTCTCAAGGACCATTAAAAATGTGGTGTTATCTGAAATGATTTCTTTATAGATTGTATTACGTTTGTGATTCTATCATTTCTAGAGACAAAATATAAGGATGCTATCTGAAATGATTTTCCAATAGATTGTATTATTGACCTGATGCTATAATTTCCAGAGCCAAAATTTCAAAAAATCCATGTTTATTAGGATACTATTTGAAAATTGTAAGGAGAATATTACCAATATAATTAATTGTGATTTTGTGACAACTGAACCAATGTTATAAGCATCCTTTCATCACTTTCTACATATTTTAAATATTAGATTATCTATGTAACAAACAACTGAAACAGGATCATACTTGTACAGTCTTCACAATGAACTGCTAAATCTACAGGCCCGGAGCTCAATTTTTTGAAAATTTTTAGTTAGATTCTGTTGGCTTGTAGATATGATTTTTACAGGCCCGAGAGCACTATTACAAGCCTGGGCTGCCTGGGCTGCTACTCAGCGTGAAGACTGCTTGTATCTTGATGTATAGTAAAACTTCCTAGATGGTCGTGAATAAAATCTTAAAACCAATAATATTTTTTTGGATTCTTTGAAACATTCATTACACATTGTGTAAAGAATTTGCCTTGAAAAAAATAACTGAAAATCATTTTTTTGTAGAAAATATCCAATTTTATATTAGCAAAGTACCATACATGTAACTCTGGATGAGTTATTAAATTAGAAAATGTCAATATCAAAAGGAAGCTTTTTTCTATCAATCCCATTAAATTTTATGAAAATTGGTTTTAAAAAGCAAATCTAATTATCATACATGTATAAAGTTGACATGCAGCCAGTTAGGTCAACAGACAGCAGATTAACATAATTCGTCCATAAAATGGGCTTGTATAGAAAAATATAAAAAGTATCTGACCAAACAACCTAAACCTTTTTTAGGGTCATAATTCTGAAAACCATATTTTTTTATCCCTTATAATCTTGATCAGAAAGGTTTTAACTTACAAATTTTTCTACTTTTGCCTACCTGTATTCCAACTTCAAGGAATTCACCACCGAGAGATTCAACTTGTTCTTTGACTGCTGGTCGTACATCATAAGCTCGTACAATTGCTCCCATGTTCCTGGCTGTGCCAACTGCAGATAACCCAGCTACACCACCACCAATGATGAAAACTTTTGCAGGTGGAACTTTTCCAGCAGCAGTTATTTGTCCTGGAAACAGGAAGCAAATTTACTAAATAGCTTCAAACACCAGGCAGAAAATATACCAGTTTTTCCGCTAACTCTACCCATATTCTTTCGACTTTTATGGAATTTTTTTAGCAAGCATTTTCAAATTCAAGACTGTTTCCCCTGTTACTGTTAGAAGTAAATGATTTAAAAACTAATTAAGATTTACCAATCTTCTGACCCTAACTATTTAAGACCTTATTAGTAGCCTATATATAACATGGTAACAAACATTGGTATGCATTTTCTTTGAACTGATCAGATTAAATCCATGGTCTTTGATAAAAGCTTTTTAGAAGTGGAATGCTCAAAAAATAGAAACTGCAAATAAAACTCAAGTTATCTCCGTTACCAATATAGTTGACAGAGTTTGGGTGTTTTGTATGTTTTTTTTTTTTTTACTTTGTAGGTTTTTACAGCACTTCTTTAAATATTCATTTACCGATCTTAAAACCAGACCTATATATTCCATACCTGTAAAAAATCTTCCAAAGTTATTTGCAGCTTCCACCACAGACTTGTAACCTGCGATATTAGCCATTGAACTAAGGGCATCAAACACTTGGGCTCGACTGATTCTGGGGATCATATCCATAGCAAAAGAATTCAGTTTGTGTTGTGCTAACTGCTCTACTAACTCTGGATTTTGCTTTGGATACAAAAAGCTGATCAAAGTGGCATTATCTTTAAACAGAGGCAACTCTGATACTTCTGGAGCCCTTACTTTCAGTACAATATCTGCCTGGAAAACATCATTTTTGGGCATAATTTTGGCACCTGCCTTTTCAAGTTCAGCATTGGTAAATTTGGCCTCAACACCAGCATCCTTCTCGATGTTCACAGTAAAACCCTTCTTTACAAGGTTGACAACTGCTGTTGGAGAAATAGCAACTCTCTTCTCATTGGGAAAAATTTCTTTTGGAACGCCAACAGTCAGATTTTTATATGGTATGCCAGGGACAGCATCTTTCTCAACTTTGTTACAATAGTTCCTTGGCGCATGTTTAAAACCACGACTACAAGAGATAGATAGTTTTTCTACACTATTTCCTAGATTGACTAGCAGTGAGGCTGTCTTCACTCTGAACAACATGGTTGCAAATTTAGGTCACCTAAAAAATATTTAAAACATTATTATTTTTGATAAAAATGATTTTCAAGAATTCTCAATCAGATTACCAAGGATAGATTTTCACTATCATGACTACTGTGACTCCACAGATCTGGGGGAAAAAAAATTAAAGCCTTTTCAGCTCAAATAATCAGTATTAAAATCATTTGGAAAACCAAATTAGGGAAAATTAAGATTTATATCAGTGGATTCAGTCCCCTTTGTATTTCCCCAATGTGCAAAAGGTATTTAACCATTCATGTCAAATGGAATACATCGTACATTTTCAATTATTCTTTTGTTTATTCTAGACTAATTAGGCATGATTGCATGTGATAATCGATCAGTTATGATAAACAATTATTTGCACACTTAATGATGCTTGTATTTTAAATTATTTTCAATAAAAATATGTGCAAAACAATAAGTGATATGCACTGTATAAGGTTGTTGCGGCCCCATGTCGATCCCGCCCCATAATAAAATAATGAATAATTTATATATAAATTATATTAACGTCGTCGGGAGGATTCGGTGACCTATTTGAATCAGGATGAATGGAATTTGTAAAAATTATCGATGCTTAATGACTACAGGTAAGTGAAGTATGCCTAATATTTGAGTAACATTCAGATGAATTATTTTAAATCGATACAAAAATGAGTAGGATTCATTGGTTCTGTGTGTAAAGCAGCATCAGCATATACATATAAGGTTATTTTCCATGATAACTTGGAATATCACGGTGAAAAAGTTTTTATTTAATTCACATATACAATGTAGAAGAGATAAATAGATATTTACAATCCAATGGAACATATAATTATGTAATCATCATATTGACTTATTTAAATCAAATCATTAGTCTATACATGTAATTGGTTTGTTTATTCAACAAATGTCTTATGAATGTATCCATATTCATTTAAGGTGATTCAAATATTTTATTTAAAAAAAAAAATATTCAAATAAATATCTCATCTTATGAAAATTTAATTTTCAAATATTTGTCAAAGGCCAACTTTTTTTATCTACCACCATTTATATTTACATTATAAAATTCATAAATATTTATAAATGACACTGAATTCATATACATCTATTTTATTCCTTAAAAATATTTTTATATTGGGGACGGATCGACTTTGCATATGGGGCCGTATCGACATGAAAGCATAAGCACGCCATGATAAGTGATTCACACTGTTTAAAATTGTAAAAAAAATATGTAATTATTCACTGATGCTATTATATTTGTATATGTAAATTCTATAAGCTGTACTGCTTTTGAATAAAAGACAATTGTTGGACAAAAGGAGAGGGCTTTAAAGTTACAGGATTAACTCATATGGTGTGGTAAAATGATAAATTTTCCAGTTGGTTGCAATTCTAAAACCTGCACTGCAAGAATTATACAGACTCGGGTAATCAATTTGTATATATTTTTATTTTGCAAACCTTTTCTTAAAAGAACTTAATTACTGTTAATTAACAAAGCGCCAAAGGTGCTTCAACATGAAAGGATTAAGCTGTCAATTAATCCCTATGTTTTCCACCTTGAAAGGTCACACTATTTTGTTAATTTCACAAGATGTTTGAGAACAATTTGTGTTTACGTGCAAAGAAAAGATTGATGCATGATAAAAACAAGATATTTGTACAGACGATTGATTAGTGCAGTGTTAGAAACACACGTATTAACTTACTTTAGACCAGTTAAGCCATTATTTGGTAAAACTTTCCGAACACTGTGCTGTGCAGTGCCGGTGTTCAAAGCAACGATGGCTGCCGACGAAGAGGCAAATCTTCGTTGACCAATTAAATTATTCGATTACCCACATGACTTTTCCGGAGGACTATCTTATTTTAAAGACATGTAACCTTATTTTAGTGTTGTTAAACGTATCTTCTTTAAATGTATACGAATAGATTACAAATATTAACATTGAAGTATAATAATGTTTCTAATTTATTTAAGTTTATATTTCATTGCTTTTAATCATAGTAATTCACAAGTAAATAAAATAATAAATTTTGATTCCCCCCTTCAATTTTCTGAAGATATTCCACTTTACTTCCGGTGCCGGTCTTTTCAGCAAGTGCGTGAAAAATGGCAAGTCCTGTTACAGCTTTGGGAAGAGTTTTGTGCCGCGCTGGCGGACTAGCTCACAACTTTGTTGCACCAGCTTCAATAGCTAGTACCCCAAACAGAAACTGTAAGTCTCTGCATAAGATGAGGATGTTGTCATTGTGTTTTTCTCCAAATTTACGTTGTCCTTGATTGACCGCAACTTCAAAAATTGAAAAACGATGAATCTGAGTTTGTTCTTATAATACTAATAGTTGCATATTTTCCACATTTATTTCAACATTTTTACACGCGATTGCTACATTCAAAAATATTCATCTTGCCTCTGGAACAAATAAAGATTGAATATGGAGCAATCTCCATAGTAACTAGTTGCAGAACTGTAGCTCGTATACATGTTCAGGTGTCCGTCCTTTTATGAATTTTCGGACAGCGCAAATCGGAAAACGTTCTAAGGACTATTCGAATTTAGGTTCGGCAGCTGCATAGTTACTTCCTATTTAACTTTAAATGAAACAGTTTGGGCAAGAAATGTTATAAATGCATCAACACTACTGACAACAGTGAAAAATTTATAATTTTTGAAATTACCTAAAATGTTTTAAAGTGTAGTTATTCTGATTAATAGTAGCAACTTTTCAAGAAAATAAATAAGGTACTAGAATGAAGATGGAACACTCTTTTTAAAGTTCAAAATTGTCACATTTAGGGATTAGGGAAAAATTGATCTGCAGTTCTTAATATAACAAATTTTCAGTGTAAATTCTTCGAAAATTATAATTAAAGAAGGCCAGTAATTGTAAACTTTCATGGGGTTATTCATGCCATGTCTTGAGAAAATGTCTACATTTTTATCACTGACTTCTATCTCAAATTTATCAATTTTATGTTTTTCCTTATGAAGTAATACTTTTTTTTCTTTACACATTATCATATTTATCCTTGAACATATTCCTACCACTTTGATTGGTTCTTACCATTCATATTACCTGTAAAAAAAATTAACCTTTATACAGTCATCAAATTTTAACACCTGTCATGCCTTTAAGGATAATTTCAATGATAGTTATGAAATTTTAACACCTTTAATGATTACCAATAATGAAAGTTTAATTGATTGATTGTTAAAACATGAGTAATCATGGTAATAAAGACTTCATTTCATGATTTGCATCTATCAAATCTTGATGCAAACCCTTAGGGTTCATCATAACAAATGGACAAAAATGGCTGTATTTCCACCTCAAAAACTACTCCAAGTGCAGACTAACCAGCTGTCAAGTTATAAAAGTTTTAAGGCCTGGCATCCACTAGATATATAAAAGTTAAATATATTTTGTGTTTCAGAAAGATAAAATCTTTTTTGGATTTTGATGGGCATTTTTTTTTTTCGTTCCTTCAGGAGGTGTAAAAATAAACTAAGTTTGGATAAATCTTTGAGATGCTCCCTCTCAGGTAACAACCGTTTTGTATTGTATTGATTGTCCTTGATTGGCATGGACAATAGACAGACAATAGATATCTACACAACTATAGGTGAGTTAAAGGGTGTAACTGAGTGGACAGTATCAAATATAATTTAGGTGTTTGTTTATTTTAACACCAACAGCTGTAACGAAAAAAGTGCCCATCAAAATCCAAAAAAGATTTTGTATTTCTGAAACACAAAATGCATTTAACTTTTATATATCTAGTGGATGCAAGGCATTAAATCTTTTCCAACTGCACAGGTTAGTCTGTACTCAGAGTAGTTTTTGAGGTAGAAATATAGCCATTTTTATCCATTTGTTATGTTGAACCTTAACCTTAACTTTTGTGGGCATTTCAATTATATCTGGAAAACACCATGTTTTATATTTCATTTCAATATTTTATTTAAGTCTCATCTCTCAATAATAAATAATACAACATTAAATTTAGTGTAAAAATATATAGATATAAAAGAGAGCCATTCTGTACAGAATTATAAGAGACTATAACATTAAAAACATTATAGAGAATTCGTCTATTATAAAACATATTTATAAGAACATTATTTACAGTATAAAACATTTCTACATCTATTTAGAATAAGATAACAGGCTTTGGCACAGCTACGAATCATATTATATCATGTAATATATGTTGTTAATTTTGCCATAGCATGTCTATGCTTTTGCAATAAAGATTCATTCATTCATTCATTCATGGGCACAATCAATTACATTTAAATTGGCAATAGGTCACTGACTAGTTTATATCCTGAAATTAGTACTATTTTTTTATACTAACGCGCGGTTGTATATTGGTATGACGTTGGTGTCGTCGTCGTCCATAGTTGAAGTGAATGGATCTCTATGAAATTTTACCACAAGGTTCAATTCCACAAAAGGAAGGTTGGGATTGATTTTGGGTGTTATGGTACCAACAGTTAAGGAATTAGGGGCCAAAAATAAGCATTTTTGTAACTTCCAGACAATAACTTTCCATACCACAAAGGGATGGTTAGGATTGGCTTTGGGGGTTATGGCTCAAACCGTTTAGGAATTAGGGGAAAAAACAAGGGTTTCCTGGTTAATGGACAATTGAAAAGCAGTGTAAGGGAGGTAATCCAAAAACACAATTGTACAATGTTGGATTACCTCCCTTACACTGCTTTTAAATTATCTATTTTAAGACTTTTATGATGTATTTAAATTGGTAATTATGGTTGCAAACTCCATTGGAAATTAAAAAGAAAATTTCTTCAAATATTTTTTTTTTTGCCAAAAAAAGGGGGGAGGGGTCAATATGCAACAGCATAGTGTATTTTTCAAAAGCAAAAAAAAGGGGGGGGGGGTAAATTTATTTTTTGTTGTTGGGGGGGGGGGGGGGGGGTCAATTCGCAACAGCATAGTGTATTGCACAAAAGCAAATAATTGAATATGAATTCAAATCATATAACCAATTCTAAGTTCTTTGACTACAGTTATTTGGTGTCGGAAACCTATTATGTGTCAAATATTTAATTACAATCCAAATTCAGACATGTATCTAGCGCGATTATTGTGTCCATTTTCTCCCCAACTGTTCAAGGTTGGACCTCTGCGGTCGTATCCAGCTGCGCTCAGCGAAGCATTTTATTACAAAATGTTATAAAATATTTTTTATGTAGACATAATATATATGGACTAAACAAAAAAGAAATATGTTTATTTAAATTACACAAATGAATATTTTTGTAGTGCAAAAGTTGTCTTTGTTGGCAATAAAGTCTTTCGGGTAAACAGAATAGGGTTCTTTAATCACTATTGAATGTCAAGTCCAAAACATACATCCAGATGATTTTATTGTATGAATTCTAAGTAACTGGTGTTTGATGTGTAACTAAGGAATGTATTTATAAATTTTCTTCTCAAAATTATCATGGAATCAGAACATTGCCATTTACTCTAACTAAAGATGAAAATATTAAAAATTGACAAATAATCTAATAATCTGGTCCCATTTTCCTTGGTGTGACTGTTTAACCATAAACAATGTAATACTTATTTTTTTCCCCTAAAAATTGAAATTGTACATGAATACACTTGAAAATGGAAATGGGGACTGTGTCAAAGAGACAACCTGACCAAAGAGCAGAAAATAGATCAAGGCTAGCAATGGATCTTCAACACATGTTGTCTAAAATGTGTACTACATGTACTGTATTAAGAAAAATGTTCATGCATCTAAAATGTCAGTGCTCTCCTCCAGTGCCTTATAGCATCAACTTCAAGGTGCTATCTGAAAGATTTTGTAAAAGACTATTTAAACCATGCATGCTTCAAATTTAAAATTTTAATCTCCCATAAAATGCTCGGGAGAACACTTGCATATTTTTGTCAGGTTTCTTGGTGACTGTTGTAATAATATTAATTATCTTGCATATGTGTAATATTATCTGAAGAATAATGGTTTGTTTTACAAACTTCAGATGCTACTGGTAAAAGAATCAAGGTTGATAACCCAGTTGTTGAGCTGGACGGAGATGAGATGACCAGGATTATCTGGGAGAAAATCAAGGAAACTGTAAGTATGACATTTCATAACTACAGTCTGCACCGTTGTCCACTAGTCTGATGCCCCAGAATAGTAAAATTTTATTCGCACTAGTAAGTTTTTGCAAATCTTTGTTTAGACACATAAGAAAAATGGTGGAATCTTGGTTTTCGGACTAGTAGTTGGAAAAGATTTTGGTGCAGACTGTAACTAGGCAAAGTTACAGCAGGATATGTTTTGCAACTTTACTGGCATAGCCTATTGATCCAAAACCAATTATACATGAATGTTAATAAATGTCAAACTGGCTTCAGACCTTGTATATTTTTCAGAGAATATTCCTTTATACATGTAAATGTGTTATCCTTAGCGGTGGCCAATCAGTCAAAAAAAAAATGTGGCATGAAATGATTTGTGGTATATGAACAATACAATAAACATTTGTGATATATTTTCAATACAACGGTATATTTAAAAAGCCTTATTCCTCATGGATGTGTGAAGTGCAGAAATTTGACGCTTTACTTTTTGTATTAAAAAAAAAACACTATAAGAGCCAATATTTAACATCGCATCACAATTACTTGTCTGATGTTTCATTTACTCGTATTTTCAGTTGATTCTGCCCTACCTTGATGTTGACCTAAAGTACTATGATTTGGGCTTGCCATACCGTGACCAGACAGATGACCAGGTCACCATTGATTCAGCATTGGCCATTAAGAAGTACAACGTAGGAGTCAAATGTGCCACCATTACTCCTGATGAAGAGCGAGTGGAAGGTATATGTTATACCAATCTGGATTGATGTACCAGGGGTTAAAATTTTTTGTTACAGCTCACTAGCCTAGGACTTATTGGAAGCAGGATTTACTAGTCCTTTTGATAGAACTGCTAGCCCAGCAAATCAAACCTGATAGCCCAAACTTCCAACAAATGTTTGAGTCCGCTCAATATTTTCTTCTGATTCAAATTTCAATCCTGAAATCTCTGATAGTTACAAAGGCAATCATTGTTAAAATTTTGGCATCATCACAATGCCTGAATAATTGACATTAAAACGATACTCTCTAGGGGTGCTCCGAGTAACGGAGGAATCTACCAGTACATACATACTAAACTTCAGAAGACTTTTGATATGATTTTGATGTTCTAACGTAAACTGTTAAATTGACAGTCCACATACGAAATGTTAAAAATTAGTGAACTAAAATCTGCCTGAAACTCTTTATTAATGCAATATCACACTGTCAGAACTGTGATTTCTTTTTTCAAAAAAACATTTTTCCTATTACCAGATGTTGACTTGTCAATGGTAAAACACGGACCAAAGATGGACACAAAACTCCATGTACGCTGTCAAAGTTGTCTATTCAGTTTATGTAGTTCTTTCCACATAATTTCTTCTTGAAAATACTTGAAATGAACGATTAGATAAAGGTATCTATGATAATGTTCGCATTTTTGAAGAATTCAGATGCAAAATTAAATCTTGCACCTGTGCACATGCCCACACGTGTATCAGTTTCAACATCATGATTCTGACAAATTTTCATTTAACTTTTTTTTTTTTAATTTTTAATTGATCATTAATTTAGAATTTTATGTTAATATGTATTTCTGAAAGGCTAATTCATTCTTACTAAGTAACAGTTCACATTTATCAATGCATCATACCCCCAGTACTGTTAATTTAAAGTCTCGGCTTGAGCATTGTACAATACGCTAAGTACTGAGAAATCGATAATGATAGTACAGGAATTGCAATCAATACATGATACCGATCAGTTCAAATTCTTGGAATCCCAGATGACATAATTGAATTTGATTGGCTAACATAGAATAGAGATGATGGGATTTTCCACTTTGTGTTTTGGAAACGCAAAGAATTTTTTGTTACTAGTCCGTCTGGCATATTTGGTTACAAGTTTTGATTGCCCTATGTGTAAATGCTCTAGTCCTGGTTGTCGGGCTAGTGGATTTCTTAACCCCTGTGTACTTAATAACTGTATAATTAACATCATAAAAAATATAGTCTTGTAAGAAAGGGGTTGAAATAAGGCCCAGATCCCAAGAACCTGTCACTTTTTACCCTCTTTGGTTCTCGATTCCTATTCTTTTGCTTAAAAAGGGTTAAAATTTTTATCACTGTTAGGCCACCCTTATAAAATTCATTTTTTGATTTTACCTACCCATGTCTTGTAAAGTTGAGTAGGTAGGTAGGGATTTTATTTATTTTTGGCCAACAAAATAAGTTACCCAGTTAAGACAAGAAAATGACATTAGAGAAGAAAAAATCTTTAAAAAAAGATAAATTTGAACCTATTTGTGTCATATATTTTTTCGGGTAGTCTACTTTTAGGTGGGTAGTAAGCAACTTCAAACAATCTAAATTTTATTTTTGGACTTACTCTTATGGTTGATAAAATTTAGTAAAAAATAAAAAAAAAAGAAAAATATGATTCTGGTTACTCTGGGAACTGACCCCAACTTACTTTTTTATGCTCAACCTAGGGGCATTATGTGTTTCGGTCTGTGGGTCCGTCCGTCTGTCCAGCTTCAGTTAAAGTTTTTGGTCAAGGTAGTTTTGAATGAAGTTGAAGTCCAATCAACTTGAAACTTAGTACACATGTTCCCTATGATATGATCTTTCTAATTTTAATGCCAAATTAGAGTTTTGACCCCAATTTCACGTTCCACTGAAAATAGAAAATGTTAGTGCGAGTGGGGCATCCATGTTCTTTGGACACATTCTTGTTCAGTGTATTTCTAATGATGACAAAAGAATTTTGTTTTCTGTTTCTGACCTACCAACAATGAATCTGTTTCTGACTGTTACAATTTCTAGCATTAAATATTTAAACTTCTGATAAGAATTGTGATAATGAAATATTGTTGTCAATACTTTATTGTGCATCATTTATCTATAGTTTATCCATATTTACACCAAGATGTCGTTAAATGAAATTGGATACCTTGCATTTATAATGCTTTTCAATAATTATGATCAATTCACTGAATGACACCCCCACCTAAATTACTGAAAACTATCATTCTTCATGGACAATAATATCTCGGTGTAAATTAGATACACCCATTTGAACTAACGCCCTCAAGGTGTATCTAATACGAAACTGACTGAATGTTGGTCTTGTATCTTATATTTTCCAGACAACAGAAAATAAAAAATAACAGTATTGGTAATTATATAGAAACACCATAATATTTTGTATTTGATTTGATTTCTTGTTGTAGAATTCAAACTGAAAAAGATGTGGCTCAGTCCTAATGGAACAATAAGAAATATTTTGAATGGCACAGTGTTCCGTGAACCAATTCTCTGTGAGAAAGTTCCACGTCTGGTACCAGGATGGACTAGGCCTATCGTTATTGGCCGTCATGCCTTTGGAGATCAGGTATCTTAATCAACTGGTATTAAGTTTTAGCATGAAAGCTTTTAACAGGGCAAAATAAAAGAAATTGTTTATACAGTACAAGTTAAAGTTTATTGCCAAAACTGAAGATTTTTCATTGTATTTAATGAACAAGTAGTGTCTTAGAAAACAGCGAAGATTGCAAAACTTGCTATTTTAATCAAGGATTAAAAATATTTAGGTCAAGTTCATATACCTTTTCGTGTTCTTAGACTTTATGAGGACAGTTTGAAAGACTATTCAAAACATTTTTACTTGCATGAACTATAGAAAATAAAACATGTTTGTGAGTAATAATATAATGTTTTCCCCTGCTTCATACATGTCATGTGCTTGTATATGTCAGACAGGTGATTAATGATTATAATTGAAAAAGGTGTCAGAAACTAGCCTAGAAATTCAGTCAGACTAACAATAGTTATTTTTACAGAAATCACAACCTATTTTATAATATAATATTTATTGATTTAACATTTCAAATACAAAAGTGTTGGTCTCATGCTTATAGGCTAAAATTGATTTCGAACGTTGCCATAAAACTAAAAACGTGAAGGAAGAAAAATGTTCAAACAATCCAAAAAAAGTTTGAGATGTTATGTCCGGCATTATATTATTTAATTTTTTTTCCAGTACAGAGCCCTAGACTTTGTTGCCCCAGGTAATGGCAAGTTTGAGCTAGTAAGATGTTATGTCCGGCATTATATTTGAATTTTTTTTCCAGTACAGAGCCCTAGACTTTGTTGCCCCAGGTAATGGCAAGTTTGAGCTTGTAAGATGTTATGTCCGGCATTATATTTGAATTTTTTTTCCAGTACAGAGCCCTAGACTTTGTTGCCCCAGGTAATGGCAAGTTTGAGCTAGTAAGATGTTATGTCCGGCATTATATTTGAATTTTTTTTCCAGTACAGAGCCCTAGACTTTGTTGCCCCAGGTAATGGCAAGTTTGAGCTTGTAAGATGTTATGTCCGGCATTATATTTGAATTTTTTTTCCAGTACAGAGCCCTAGACTTTGTTGCCCCAGGTAATGGCAAGTTTGAGCTAGTAAGATGTTATGTCCGGCATTATATTTGAATTTTTTTTCCAGTACAGAGCCCTAGACTTTGTTGCCCCAGGTAATGGCAAGTTTGAGCTTGTAAGATGTTATGTCCGGCATTATATTTGAATTTTTTTTCCAGTACAGAGCCCTAGACTTTGTTGCCCCAGGTAATGGCAAGTTTGAGCTTGTGTTTACACCTGAAGGAGGCAAAGAACAAAGAATGGATGTGTTTAATTTCACAAATGGCGGAGGTCCACTGATGGGAATGTACAATACAGATGAGGTAAACAAATTTAAACAATGAGAATAGAATAAAACTATAAAAAGACAACAGCATCCTGGATTACTGCAAGGAAATGCTTTATTCTTGTCTACATGTTTCGCCACTTACGGTGGCATCTTCAGGACAATTTAATGATAGGAAACAAGTGCTGTAGTACATAAAATGCGGTTCATATAGGGTTACAAAAAGGTTAAGACATATATCACAATTATTGGTTTGAGCTGCAAATGTTTGCACCTGTCCTAAGTCAGGAATCTGATTACAGTAGTTGTCGTCTGTTTATGTAGTTCATACGTGTTTCTCGTTTCTCGTTTTTATATAGATTAGACCGTTGGTTTTTCCATTTGAATGGTTTTACACTAGTAATTTTTTGGGGCCCTTTATAGCTTGCTGTTCGGTGTGAGCCAATGCTCTGTGTTGAAGGCCGTACCTTAACCTATAATGGTTTACTTTTATAAATTGTAACTTGGATGGAGAGTTGTCTCATTGGCACTCATACCACATCTTCCTATATCTATTGACAATGTTAAAATGAAAGTGAAAGTAAAAGTTAATAATGTATTGTCAGTATCTTTTCCCAAAACCTATAGTACAAGGTGATTGTGATTGAAAATAATTATTTTTTGGGAAGGGACCAGACATGTTTTAAAGTACCTATGGTACACACAAGATGATTGTGATAGAAATAAAAAAAAAAGGGTTTATTTCTCATAATCATCAGATAATGTTCAAATCTTGTGTCGGATGCAATTATGGATTTAAAAGTGGATTATTTAAAGGCTTAAACCTGCTGTGTGTTTCCACATATAAGAATTAGGGTGGGACCAGATACCCCTCTTTTAGCCTTTAAAAAATATCATGAAGTTTGTGCTACTGTTTCTTTTACAAAAAATAAGATAATATTCAGTTTGTTACATAATGGTTATTTTCCCAAACAACTTAATTTTGATGTATAAGATTAGAGACCTGGTAACAGCTGGTTAAACTTTAACATGTATTTTAGCTACAATTGTTATTTACTAGGACATGATGAATTTTATATCATTTCAAGACGGGAATGAGTAGTGATTATAAAAACATTCTGATCCTGGAACTTTCCTTGTTTAATTTGAAATAAGCATATAATTATAATGTCAACCAGGAATTTTAGAGTTTATTGTTTTTACATACTGAGGTTTTAGTGTTTTTAAAAATAGAAAAAGAGTCGACAGAAAAATTAAAATGGATGTACAATTTTAAATGTATAATATTGTGTTAACTTTATCCTGTTACAATGAACAACATATTATATCTATTTTGTTTCAAAAGTTGAGGTGTTAATGGCTTTTAAAACTGCTACTTGTTGAAAACAAAGTGACCCAATCTTCCCAATAAAGCTTTCCCAACTTAGCAATTTTCATGTTAGCATTTAACAGAATTTAGACTTTATCCTCTGACAACCTGACTAGATTTGGTAAGTTGCCAGAAAAAAATATATGAATGAATTTGAATTAACCATTCACCTTTTGTATTTTGCAATTTACAAAATGACTAAAAAAACTGGCTGAAAGACAATCTGCCAAACTGATTGTACAGTTTTTGGAGATTTTTTTTATGATTACTGTCAAACATTTGGTCAGACCAATACTGAAAGCCTGCGATAACCATCCAAAGTTTAACTGACTTGTTAGTCAGATTTCTGGTAACATCTGGTGAAACATATTAACATATATTTTAGCTTTTTAAGTAGCTTACTAGGACATGATGAATTTTATATCATTTCAAGACGGGAATGAATAGTGATTATAAAAACATTCTGATCCTGGTAACTTTCCCGAAACCAGAGAAAACTTGCTTTCAGATACAAGAAATGCCAACCAAATATAAAAATATATATATGGATGTTTAATAATAATGTATTATATTCTGTGTAAATGTAAGCTGTTACAATGAACACCATATGTTAAGTCAGTTTCCTTAAAAAAAACAGATATGAATAAGGTTGAAGGTTGGGTATACATGTACATCAATAAACATGATAAATTGACAACCCAATAATACTAGATTCTAGACATGTAGAGGTCATAATACTGTTTTCAACATGTGTCCATACAAATGTTAAGCTCTACCTTGCCATGAATCTAAAACAAGTGTTGGCTAAATTTTATCAGAGACCAATTATAAAGATTTGAAATCAAGTTTCGAAGGGTGATCTTTATGGTAAAAGGACAGATTGTTGTCGCATAGTTTTTTTCTTGTTACTTCCATTTAATTAATATAATTTTTCTGTTTACAGAGTATCCAAGGATTTGCCCATGCCTGTTTCCAGTATGCTATCATGAAGAAATGGCCTCTCTACATGAGCACAAAAAATACAATCCTCAAGAGATATGACGGCAGATTTAAAGATATTTTCCAAGAAATCTATGAAAAGTAAGTTTTAAAAGTCTTTGTACACAGACCAAGGTACTAGAAGCTCAACTATAATATATGCTGGTATGATTGCCAATGAGTCAATTGCCCACCAGAGACCAAATAACATGGATTATAACGCAGAAGAGCCTTCAACAATTAGGAAAACCCATACCATATAAAACCTATACAAGGCATGATACAAAATAAAACAATATAAACATAGGCCCAATTAATGCTAAAACAATTTTGACAGATAGGAACCAACCACAACTACTAAATTACAGACTCATGACTTGGGACAAACAAAGAATGTGGTGGGTTTTTTTTGTTTTTGTTTTTAAGTTAAGGATTTGCTCACATGTATTTTATTAAACCCATTTAAACCTTTGCTGAAAACCATCCCCAAGTTTTTCTTAATTACAAAGTAGCTCTTAATTGTTATCTAATTAGAGTTTATTTCAATTTAGCAAGTCTATTAGCATTAATCTTTCAGAGATTACAAGGGAGACTTTGACAAAAATAAAATCTGGTATGAACACCGACTTATTGATGATATGGTAGCCCAGGCCCTGAAGTCTGATGGAGGTTTTGTGTGGGCCTGTAAGAACTATGATGGGGATGTACAGTCTGATATTGTTGCACAAGGTAAGAGTAATGTCCCATGCTGGGAAAAAATGATTTTGAAATTTATAATCTTGTGAGTCGTGAAAATTGTAGAAAGTCTTTTGATTGACTTTGAGTATTAAAGAGACATTGGAAATCAAAATAAAGACTATCTGCAAGTTCCTAGTTTTGCATTTGTGTGCTGTTTAAATTGGTTTGCTTGCTTTTAGTATATAAGTCAGGAACAAGTTGTCTGTAATAAGTAGAGTTGTTTTGCTTGCTTTTTATGTCTCCGCTGTAGGGGAGGGGGCATTAAGTTTTACCCTTGTTCGAACGTACGTCCCAAAATTGGTTTCCATTCTCTAACTTTAGTTTGCCTCAACTAAATGTTATGAAACTTATACACAATGCTTATTATCACAAAACACAGATCACATTTGAATTTTGGTGGCGTCAATTTTACCATTCTAGAGTTATGCCCCTTTACAAATGGAAAAATTGCTTAATTTTTCGTGTCCTTCTCGAACTTAAGTTTGCCTTAAACAAATGTTATGAAACTTGTGTGCAATGCTTATTACCACAAAACACAGATCAAGTTTGAATTTTGGTGGCCTCATTTTTACTTTTCTAGAGTTATGCCCCTTTACAATTTCGATTTTGTTCTCTTAAGTTTGCCTCAACCAAATGATATGAAACCTATACACAATGCTTATTACCACAAAACTCAGATCAAGTACAAATTTGTGTAATATCACTTTTACTGTTCTTGAGTTATGTCCCTTTATAACGTTATATGCAAGCAGGGGCAGCATTTGTGTCCCATGGACACATCCCCATTTATTAGTCTCCTACCGACGAAGTCGAAGGAGACTTTAGGTTTGCACTCTGTCCGTCTGTCTGTCTGTCCATCCGTCAGTCCAGCAAATCGGTTTTCCACACTTTTTTTCATCGTGCTTAAAGATATTGATTTGATATTTGGTATATAGTTTGAACTTCTATCATGACCAGTTACAGATCAGTTTTGAATTTTGTTCCGGTCTGTTGATTTTGTGCGGAGTTATGGTCCTTGGACTTAGAAAATTCACGCAAGTAATCATTTTTCTGCACTTTTTTTTGTTTTGCTTAAGGATATTGATTTGATATTTGGTATATAGCTTTATCATGACTAGTTACAGATCAAATTCAAATTTTGTTCTGGCCTGGCCTGATAATTTTATACCGAGTTATGGTCCTTGGACTTAAAAAAATTCAAGAAAGTAACCAGTTTTCTGCTTTTTTTCATCATGCTTGAAGATATTGATTTGATATTTGGTATATAGTTTAAAACCATTACAAGTTGCAGATCAAGAACAAATTTAGTTCGGTTTGGATGATTTTTTTTTTGCAAAGTTATGGTCCTTGGACTTAGAAAATCCACTCAAATAATCAGTTTTCCACACTTTTTTTTTGTTATGCTTGAACATGTTGAAGATATTGATTTGATATTTGTTATATTATGAACTTATCTGATCCTTATAGATTATCGTTGATCATCTCAACGAGAATGATTTTCTCGCTTGAGCCGGTACGGCGAAAGCGAGAAAAGCAATCGAGTTGAGATGACCAATGATAATCTATTTATCGCTATTTTACCTATGAGGACGTTGTCAATTTCATTAGCAACGGCACGTGCCCCCTTAGTTTCTAGCGATAATTTTCATATCACTCGACTCCGCTGAGAAAGGAAATTATCAGTCAGTAAGATCAAAGGAAATTTCGTAAAATAGCGATAATAGATCTTACGGCTAAAATTCTGTTCAAGATTTTGTTCAGTTCAATTTAGTTTATATTGATATTTGATTAATAAATACTAAAATTCAACTGAAAAAAGCTTATACACATTATGATCTGACTTTTTCTTCCTCAATGCAGGCCGGCCTGCATTTTCATTTTCAGAGGTTGACAGGTATGGATTAAATGTCTTTCAATTGACTTCTTGGAGTAAGAGACTTTGAATATCAAACCAAAGACTATCTGGAGGTTCCTGAGTGCTGTTTAAATTGGGTTACTTGCTTTTAGTATACAAGTAAGAATCAAGGTTGTCTAAAATAAGTTTTCCTGGCTTTATCTTTAATAATAAATCTGAAAATGTTCAAGATAGGAGTGTATTAAACAGTTCATTTTATATATTATTTTTAAAGTGTAGGTATATGTGTAAAAAAAATTGTTTCAGTTTGACCAAGATGGTTTAAATAAATAGTGAATAAAAAAAAACTTTGAGGAAATGATGATATTCATAATTTCAAGACGGATCTGATACAACATGATTATGAACTTATCTGATCCTAGATCTTACTGCCCAAATTCTGTTAAAAGAATTTTGTCAGTTGAAATTAGTTTATATTGATATTTGATTAATAATAAATATTTGACAATTACAAAGTTTAAATGAAAACATAAATTTTAAATAATGTTGAACAAATACTTCACAATTGTGAATATTTGTAGGTAACTTGTATATGTTATAGAATTATAGAATATTAAAAAAAATCCTCTAAATACACAAATTCAACTGAAAAAAGCTTGTATGCATCATGACCTGACCTTTTCTTCCTCAATTCAGGTCACGACCTGCATTTTCATTGTCAGAGGTCAACAGCTATGGATTTAATGTCTTATCGATTGACTTCTTGGAGTAAGAACTGTTATCCCCCCCCCCTATTTTAGTGGAGAACATGTTACTCAGTCTTTAGTTTTCTATGTTGTGTTTTGTGTACTGTTGTCATGGCGTTGTCAGTTTATTTTTGACTTACGAGTTTGAATGTCCCTTTAGTATCTTTCGCTTCTCTTTTGATTTGAATAGTATATAGATAAAATGTATTTTTCATGTGGGAAAAAAAAATTCAGTTTGACCAAGCAGGTTGAAAGAAATAGCAAAAAAAAAAAATCGAGGAAATGATGATCGTCATAATTTCAAGACGGATATGATACAACATGATTATGAACTTATCTGATCCTAGATCTTATGGCTTAAATTCTATTAAAGATTTTTGACAGTTGTATTTAGTTTTTTTAGTTTTTTTGCTCATCCACAGTAGCTGTTGGCAATAGTTAAAAATGGTCCCTTGTGATTAGGATTACCATGCCTTTTCGTTCAGTGTAATAATTGAAGATCAATTAACTTTGGAAAATGCGTTTTGTATGCAATATTGTAACCAATCTGAGGTTCAACTTGAGTTGGAAGGAATGGACTGCCAATGGTGGGCAGGTTGAAATGGCTAAATCCACACAAGCTACAGTGTATTTTCAAAGGCAATCGAAGTTACACCATTTATTTCAACATGAAATTATTAAAAACATTTTCTTGCAGGTTACGGCTCACTTGGTTTGATGACCAGTGTACTAGTGTGTCCCGACGGCAAAACCATCGAGTCTGAGGCTGCCCACGGTACAGTAACCCGTCACTACAGGGAACACCAGAAAGGCAATCCTACCAGCACAAACCCTGTAGCTAGTATCTATGCTTGGACTAGAGGTCTGGAACATAGAGGAAAATTGGACGGAAATGCTGAACTACAAAGGTACAATTTGGTGTTTGAAAAACTAGAATAGTAATAGAACGTTTTATTTTTTGTCTATATAGAAGTTGCGTTTTGGTCGAGATAAATTATTAAAAAGTAATTTCAAACCAAATTTATTGACATTTTTTATTTTTTTACACAAATGTTCACTTGATCCAGGAAATGATGATCAACATTCATTTCAAGACGGATATGATACAACATGATTATGAACTTATCTGATCTTGGATCTGACTATTAAATACCTGGTTTAGATTTTTTCGATGTAATATCATGAATATTAAATCTAAAGCTTGGAAAGATTTTATTTATATATACTTTATATAGAATCCTAAGCCTTGAAAACTTAGGGATACAGGTCCAGATTATGATTTTTGTGCCCTCCTTACATATCTTGTAATTAGTATATATTAGTGCTCACATGGTTGGTTTATTATTTTGGGGTTTCTTTCTTTACACTGGAAATTCAAATTTTTTATTGGAATTTAACCCAAATGGTTCCTGCTTCAGCGGTCTTGCTTAAATAGATACAACAAGGCATTATGTTTTGATGTTGGATAAATGTATTGTATTATAATGTTTCATGTTTACAGATTTGCCACAACATTAGAAAAGGCATGTGTAGCTACAGTTGATTCTGGTAAAATGACAAAAGATTTGGCTGGATGTATATATGGCTTAAAGAAGTAAGTTATTGAAATACTGTTTTCCCTATTTTTTATAACCCACAAACATCATTATGTTGGGACTATCAAAGTATGATAAAAGTGAAGGTAACTGTGTGTTCTAACATATGTATAGAAATATACAATTAATGTAGCTGATTATCTTGCCAGACATTTGCACAACTGTATAGTTTCTTTTCAAGAATAACTGCATAGGTATTCATAGTAAATCCTGGATTTCTTCTTGTTTGATGATCCATATTGTTTACAAAAAATTACAACATTTTGTACAAGTATAGTCCCTAAAGTATGAAAACTAAACTATTACATATGAAATGTAGATGGCACATCATGGTTTTACAATTGTAGTTTAATTGCAGTTCATGAATTTAAAAAGAAAAAAATAGCAATAATTAGATTTAAGTACAAACCATGGAGAAAGTTTTTACAAACTCTTTTAACTTTAAATGCTATTATTCTATATATCTAAATTATCTCCCTTTGCAAAATAGTTTTTTTTTGGGGGCTGAATTTTAGTTTAATCTGTGGAGACAGGAAACCAAAATTTATGGCAAAACTGAACTGAACATTCTGATAATAGTATACACATTCTCAACTCATGTATATTTTGTGCTTACTTTACATAAATGCAGTACCAATGAGGCTTATCAAAAAAGAAATTTGAATAAGAACTGTCAGTTTATGTCATCTTTCAGTCTTGAACATTCAAACTTGACTGAACAACAAAGTAACTGATGTTTTTTCTCTCTTTCAGTGTAAAACCAGAGCATTACTTGTACACAATGGACTTCTTGGAAGCAATTTCAGAGGAACTGAATCGTCAACTGAAATAATGACACTGTTGTTTAGGAATTATTTATCAAGTTTAGGTCTGAATAAGGGGCAGCAACTCTTTGTAACTTAACCAGAGTTTTATCAATGTGATTTTTTTTTGGATTTGTGACGTTAATACACAAATTTGTCCTAATTAAGGTTTTAAATAATTTTCATAAAAAGGAAATTTGAAAATGTTAAAAGAGGGGAAGGGAAGGTGAAAACATAAAAAATTACTATAAAATTGTTTGTATTTTATTATAAATGTCTACATATTTGTTAGAAGACTCAAAGATGAAAATGGAATAAGATCTGCAAGAGTTTTTTACAATTGTTTTTCACTCAAAAATTCCATAATAAGATTTTGATCTTTGTTACCAAATTTTGTAAGTTAAGACCTGATGTTCATTAATTTATTATGGATTTTTTGTTTAAGTAGATCTTAATGCTGGCCATTTACATACCTTGTAAATTAAAAGTCTCATTTGTACAAAATACTTGAGAAGTCAGTTTGAACTTTAAAAAAATGGGAATAATATTGGACATGTACATTATTTGTGTCTTATTCATTAGTATATATTAAAACAAGTGCCAGTATTACCAAATATATTGCCCTTTTTCTATTGTATTTACTAAAATGTAGCTGTTTTGTAATGAATTTATTAAAAAAATACTAAAAAATGGATTAACAAGCAGTAAACGCATATCAATCAATTGTAAAAACCCTAGTCTTAGATTATAGAGTGCCAACAAAATTGCAATGCATTTAAGAAATTTAATTAGAGGTATGATTCTTCTTTTCACTATATACAATCTATAGTGAGAAAATCCTTTAGTTGCCATAGAAGCCAATCAAAAGTGCTACTTTTTTACATGTGATGTCATATTAGATGTTTTTCTTTTTGTTGCCATGGTAACCTGGCGAAAGTGCTATTGTTATATATTATAAAGAGCATCATGTAAGATTGTCTTTGAAGAAAATTTATATTTTTAATGGTTGAGTGTTAAAATTTGATTGCACTGGTGAGATTGTATACAGTGTATACGGTACAGTTGTAAATTATTATCTTTCAGGCAGAAAGTAAATTTCAAATATTTAGTGTCCTTGACATAATGAATATTTATATGTCCTTTGAACTTTAAAGGGAAGTGCACCTTTATGATGCTATATGATTTTTTTAATTTGCTTTCAACTTGTAATTAAGTTTAATATTTAAATACAGAAGACAATTTACAATAATGTGACTATCATAGCATATTTAATACATGTATATACTTGCTTGAGCAACTAAGTTTTACCATAGCATTTTGTCAATAGTACTATGCATTATATTATTCAGAGATTGAAAATAACTGTGATATAGGTTGTATAAGAGTTGGCCAAAATGATATTTTTGTCAAGTTTATCATTATTACAATTTACCAAGCTGCATTCCTGAGTTTGCTTACAATGGCTGTGTTTGGAATCATCTTCTGGCACATAATGAATGTTTTGTTATTAACATATAAGGCAGCTAGATATAAACAAGTAGCCTTAAGTTTTTTTTCTGTAACAAATTCACCATAGGTCATCGATGACAAGATACAGATTTGTTGATCAACTGTTGTTGTATGGCTAGATTTGTCTGAGTGAGTGTGAAATAAATCATGACCAAATTATTGCTGTTATTATATTTTTGCTGTGTAGGAGGATTAAGTCCACTACCTCAGGTGTCCAGTGTCAAAAGCAACTCTTTGTCATTATTGAATAAAATTCATCAAACACCAAGAACTGCATGACTGGTCTCTAGATACCATGCTTGCCTTGAGTGTATGAGTTTGTGTGTTGGTCCTTTGCTTTGTCAAATCAAAGACATCAAAATTGGTATTTGATGCTCTTGGCAAAGCATGCAGCATTCAGGAGTAATAGCAACGACTTGTTGCTCGGAGTCAAAATTATAGGGCCAAGAAGGGTGTTATATGCCTTTCTGAAACTTAAATTGTAAAATAGTGTTAAAAATCAGGCTAAGAATGTTTGTCTAGTACAAAGCAGGGTTCATAATCCCAAGTCAGGAACCTCTGGCCTTTGTTGGGCCTGTATGTTTTTGTCTCGCCTTGACAGAGTCAAAAAGCGAGACAAAGGTATGCTGTTACGGCATGGGAGGCGGCGGTGTGTTTGTGATTAGGTCTGATTTATGGTGAACCACTAGTGGTAGGTCAATGATATTAGGTATGCAGTTGTATTACCATTGGCACATCTCATATCCATTGAGTCAGTCATGGTCTATTGACTGAAACTTTTGCTTAGTTTACATGTATTAGTTTGTGATTAGGTCAGTTCAAGGGGAACTATTAGTGATAGGCCAATGTTAATTGGTATGCAGTTATATAAGCATTAGCACATCTCATTTCTATTGAGAATATTTGGCCCCGCCCCCTCAGTCATGGTCTATTGACTTTGAAACTTTTGCTTAGTTTACAAATGTATTAGTTTTTGATTAGATCAGTTTAAGATGAACCGCTAATGTTATGTCAATGATATTTGGTATGCAAATTTATTGGCATTTGCAAGTCTCGTTTCAGTGGAGATTATATAGCCCCACTCCTACATCATGGTTCATTGACTTTGAAACTTTTACATAATACAAGTTAATGTTTGTGTTTAGGTACGTTTAAAGGGAATGACTTATGATAAGTCAATGGTATTTGGTATGCAGTTGTATAAGCACTGGCACATCTCATTTCCATGGAGATTGTTTAGCCGTGTACCTTCAGTCGAGGTTAATTGACTTGGAATATATTTGCATAACTTGCATGTTAAAGTATTGCTATTTTGATTTCAACATTTGCATTATCAAAATTACTAAAAGGTGAGACATATCTCTTTGTTAACAGTTTATTTTAATTTTGGTTCATTTATATGTATCGGAGTACAGTTTAGTGTGACGTCCATTTTCACTGAACTAGTATACATTATTGTTTAGTGGCCAGCTGAAACCTGCATCCGGGTGTGGGATTATCTCGCTGTGAAGACCCTTTGGTGGCATTGGGCTGTTTTCTGCTCTTTGGTTGGGTTGTTGTCTCTTCGATGTATTCCCCGTTTTCATTCTCAATTTTATGTTCTCATCATGAATATGAATTTTATCTTATATTGGATGTTAAGCCATCCACCATCATCAAACATCCATGCAAGATGAATAACTGTGAACACCATTCAATCAGAACTAATCCTTTCTGCATTTTTTCAGTATTTCATGGGATAATTGAAGTTTTGTCATTTTTTCAGGCAAAAATGATTATAAGGATAAGATTTACAAATAAGTCAACATGGCGAAACTTGTCAACCACTACTATGACAGTTTTACCGTTTTTTCCAGGAAACTATAAATGATAGAAACAACTATACATAACAAAAATGATAGCTAACATCTACAAATAAGTCAACAAGACTTTAATCATTAGTTGGCTCTTTAGAAGAGTTATAGCCCTTGAACAAATTCTTGCCTTGAAAAATAATATTTACCCATTTTTGTGGGAAACTATTGGAAATATTCTTATTGCATTGTATCAAATTTATGAAAAAAGATCATGTGAGCTAAACAAGCTTCTTGGATGCTTGATTTGGCAATAATCGTAAAAAAATTTGAATAGATAAAAAGAAAAAATAGGTCATTAAATAAGTTTGCATGACCGAATTTGTCAGTCGATTCCTGAAAGGTATTCTTTCCTTGAATTACAAGTTATGTCCATTTTTTTTTACATATTTGGCCATTTTTCTTAAAAACTAAAATAAAGAGAATCCGTAGACAGCAATATAAGATCTGCAAATATGTCAATCCACTCATAGTAGGAGTTATTGTCCTTAAGTGATGACGTTTAAATCCCTCCCCCCGTTTGGTTTTTACCTCCAAATTTATGATACAGAGAAACTGAGCATCAAGATATTATCAAGGAGTTTATATGAGAACCTTCATTTGCTGTACAAAATTTATGCTCGAAGCACCATATCTAGCATTTCGATTTGTTGATTTCTGAGTCCGAGTACGATAATCGTACTCTGAAGTTTTATGACTGCAAGGCCTGAGCTGCAATGTATTTTCGAAACGCTGTCAAAACCGATGACACGATAACAATAGAAAAGTAACTCTTGTGAAAAAAAGTCAACAAAATCAAAAGTAAAGCAAATGCAGGTGACGATACTTATTAAAAGTTATCTCTAAACAACAAACGTATATTTTAAAGAAAGTATTTAATAAACTGTGTTATGAAAAATATACATGCAAATACATGATGATTTTCGTTATTTATCGAGATAATTGCATTAGAAGGTTGTGAAACTGGAATTTAAAAAAATGTTAAACTTGCTGCAAATTGAGGGGAAAAAAATGGAAAACATAATGTACATGTACATACAAAATCTAAAGCTCTTTCAAGTCACCGATTATCGAAGTGTTCCACATAGTCCTTAGCTACATGTTACCATGTTACATATAGACCTATTTTCTACATCCTATTTTTCGAGTACGCCGGTCTGCTCTTCTCACTTAAACTTTCAATATAGAAACAGTCTTTTTGTGAATACAACGATTTAAAAGTTTAAAAGTGTCTGTGCAGGTTAAAAATTTAAAGATAAATGTTTGATTTTTATTTTTTTTTAATGATATCGTCTCAATTTGTACATGTATTTGCGGTCTTCTCGATGTATTAGCATTCAATGTTAACATCGGTGCAAGGTCCGTTTGAATTTAAGTTACTTAATTTCATAAGTGTTTTGCTGCAATCGATTCTTTTCCCTTGAAATTCTCTGATCTATCTTCATATACATACGGCGTGTTCCAGAAAGGTATACAGCCAATGGATGAACAATTGAAGTTCAACTCGGTACTTCAGGAATTTATTTACATAGCAACATTTTAAACCAATTTTACAAAAAGTTCCTATAGCCTGATGTACTCGTCGTTTTCTATTTGAGGAGGGAAATGATAACATTATGTTGAAATTTTGTTCTAATTTCAATTTATTTTTATTGTTACTATTTACAAGGACGTTTTTGCTAATTTACGACTAGATTTTCCTACTGGGACTTAGCACGCGCGAGGCAGAATAATGTTTCCGGGTAAGGTGACATGTTTTCGAACTGGTACTGTAAATATCGGACTTTGTGTGTCGGTTGGGTACAAAGAAGGGTTCATATTCACATCACGATAATATGCTCTCTTCCTGATATGCATGTTATATTTCCCACAAGACATTATACACAAATCATCATCATCATTGTCATCATCATCGTCATCATCTTCGTCGTTCAAATATCAATCACCATATCAAATAATCAATCAACGGACTCTTCTCTGATGTAACTTCATAAAGACGCAAAGCAATGGACTGAGTCGCCGTCGATAAAAAAAATGACGCTTTTTGGATACGCAATTACGAAATTTTTAGTTGGTGAAATATTTAAAATACGTAAGCAACCCATTTACAAGTAAAATACGGGAAAAAAAACAGGAATTTTATTTTTACAAAATTTACTTCTGTGTCCAAGTTTGGTAGCAATCCAGGATAGAGATATACAGAATTTGGCGGGAATACACATGTTTGTGAGCGCTCAACTTTCTCCTGGTGAAATAGCACAACATAGAAAAACTATAAAAAATCAGTTGGGAAAAGGCTTGACTCATTAAATCAGCTTATGCACTTAAAACCTAACAAAGAGATAAAAAAAACACAAAAGGTACCGATCTCAGAGTAGTCCTATACAGTAACATGCTATCTACGCAATGTAGTAGTAGTAAAACTGAATTTTAAACAGCTATCAAATTTTATTCAACTCTCGGTTTTTATCACACAAAAAAGGAGAAGATTAAAGTCCGACAATCTACAAATTGAAAACTAAAGAATGAGCAATACAAACCCCACAAAAATAGTTCTAAACTAAGGTACTCTGGAAGGGAAGCTAGTTCCTTCTCCACTACTCACTATTATAATTAACGTACCTTTAAAGTGAGCAAGCGCAAATACCAACGCCCCCATATAAATTAGGCTTTTAGACATTATTATTGTCTTACACAAGTGTATTTTTAGTAACTATGACCTTGATTCTTAGACAGAATGACTTCAAAATCAATAGGGATTTTTCTCTTAATGTTCATATTACATTTGACCATATGTAGTATTTGATTTAGCATTCGGAAACCAGTTTTGCATTAAATGTGATATTTTCAGTACCATTGACCACCGGTAACATAGTAACTATGACCTTGACCTAAATAAATAATAGAGATCTTCTACTCATTATAATTCACAATATACCCAGGTGAGGTTGCATCGATTTCCCAATAAAAGTATTTGGTTTAGCATCCTGAAAACACTTTTTTGCACAAATTTCGGTCTTACCTTGACCTTTGACATGGTGGCCTCAAAATCAAAACAGTCATATTCCACTCATTTATGTGACCGTATATCAAAGTAAATGTGCAATCTCATATGTATTATTTGATTTTAAGCATACGAAAATCCACTTTTCTGCACAAATTATGGTCACTTTGTAACTATGACATAGACCTTAAAAGTATTGACCTAAAATTGAAAGATATTATATATGTTACTATATATTCAGTTGCAATCCCATATTTTATTTAGAATCCGGGAACCTCTTTTCCCACAAATTTCAGTCTATTCTTAGTAACTATGAACTTGACCTTTGACCTCATAACCAGAAGGGATCTTCCTCTCATTATATGTCACCATATATCCAAGTAAGATTGAAAAAATTCTATAGAAATTATTCGAGTAAGCATCCAGAAACGAAAATGACTGACAGACTGTCTGAAAGACAGTTAAAAACTATATACCTACCTGCTAAAATGTATCCTGAGGTACATGATACATGAAGCAGTATGTGTTTGTAAGTTGTCCTCAAGAAGAAAATAAATATGAAAGAACTATTAGTGAGCAAGCTCACATACCCCCTTTCTTCAATATAAACATGAAAAGTGCTTATAATAACCTAAGGGCTGTTTTTTGTTTGTTAACTCTAAGGTATGATTCTTTACTGTTATGATTTAAGATAATAATATTGTCTAACCTAAATGTATTTTTAGACCAAGGGACTTCAATCTAAACATGGATTTTCCTTTCATTAAATGTTACTGTATATCCAAGTGCGGTTGCAATGACATGTGGAATACTTGAATAAGCATCCTGAAACACTTTTTCTGAACCAATTTTTCGTCTATTTTTGCAACTTTAACCTTGACCTAAGCCATAGTGATCCAAGAAAGGTTGCAATCACATATGTAGTATATGATATAGCATCTGGAAACCAATTTTCTGCACAAGCTTCAGTCTATAAATACATGTGGTAACTTTGACCTTTGACCTTTTACCTGATGAACTCAAAATTAATGTGTTTTTTTCTTTCAATATTTATGTGAGGTATTTGAGTTAGCATCTAGAAAAGAAAATGACTGACAGACAGTTCGACTAAATATACCCCTGCTACTTTGTAGAGTGGGGTTTACTATATAAAAGTAACATTTTTGCAACATCATTTTTATATTCAACAATTTTCCTTAAAAAAAATGTCACACAGACATGTTCACCTTACAATTATTCCATACACCAAATAAAGTTGACCTATTGCTTATGGTAATTAAAAAAAAGACCAAACCACAAAAACTTAACATTGGCCAATGAACCATGAAAATGAGGTCAATGTCAGATGATACCTGCCAGACAGAAATTTACCCCTTACAATTATTCCATACACAAAACATAGTTTACCTATTGCTTATAGTACTTGAAAAACAGACCAAAACACACAAAAAATAACATTGACCAATGAACCATGAAAATAAGGTCAAGGTCAGACAAAACCTGCCAGACTGACAAGCACCCCTTACAATCATTCCATACACTACATATAGTTGATCTCTGCTTATAGTATCTGAGAAACGGACATAATCATGTAACTTTAACCTTGATCACTGATCCATGAACGTCAGGTGAACCCTGTCTGACTGTCATGTAGACCTTGCAAGGAACCCATATACCAAATATAGTTATCCTATAACTCATAATAAGTGAGAAATTCGCATGACAAAAACTATAATTTTTTTTCAAGCAGTCACTGAACCATGAAAATGAGGTAAAAAACAATGGACATATGACAGACGGAAACTTGGTAACATAAGGTATCTGTATACAAGGTATGAAGCATCCAGGTCTTCTTCCTTCTGAAATATAAACCTTTATACAAATAGTTTACACTGCCATTGATAGTAATCCCTATGTATCCCATACTGCCACTTTCATCGCAGGCGAGACAAAAAGAGGAAAATACTATAATGTTGTTGAGTTTGATCCAATATACTAAATCTAGAATAAGAAACACAAAATTTCTTGCATACCAATTTATTCGTTTCCAGAATTTCTGAACAGACAATACTACAAAAGAATACTGAACAAAAAGAAATGTTTGTAAAAATATCTGGGATAAGAGTTTATTAACATTTTGCAGATAAAAGTAACTAAACATACATTTTTATTTAAAATTACAAATAAAGATATATAAAAAAAACAACAAAGAATAAAAGGCAGATATAAACCTTTTCTACAAGGAAAAAAATGTGAATATTAAAATTTTGGATACTGAGGCCAACTAGTATAGAAGTTAATTAAGATTTTTGGCTGAAAAAAATAATGCTGTACTAATCAGTACATGGATTAGAGAAAATATTGTATAATTTCTACATTTAATCTAAACTTGAGATTGAGATTTTAAAACTTGTCTTCTAATCATAATGAGAAATGCGAAAGGCAAGAGTTTAAACTGTATCACTGATCAAGATGTTTTCCGAATAAATTTTTCAAATATTTTTTTTTTCAATGACAAAATGAGGTCAATCGTTGGGAGGAAATTAATTCAAATAACCTGATTAAGGTCGTCTGCTGCTTGATGGTGATAATCTAGAAGCTTTAAAATTCCTTAAGCAACATCAACATTAAAAGCTGTTTAGATATAAATATCCACATCTATATCTCCTTTTATTCATATACATATAACACATTTACAAAATTTGAATTCAAAAATATATTTTTCCCATAATTTAATATCACTGTTAAAAAGTTGGGGTTTCTGGAATGTATCCTCCTTAATTCTAACAAAAACAATGTACGGAAATAAAACAATATAAACAAACAAATCTAATCACAGATTTTCACAGATTGTCCTGGTTTTCTTAAGGCTTTGATGATTTATAAAAGCCTATATGCTTCTTTCTGAGACCTTTATGTACGCCAACCCCCTTTTATCATTTTTTTTTAATTTGTACAAAAATATCACAAATATGGAAAGATATAAACTTTGTGTTTAGAAAGGGGCTGTTTATTTGAAAAGTTTGAACAAATTCAATGAATACTGAATTAATACTTCATACGCTGACACTTTACCATAAATATTTTTATTTTGTAACATTTACGAATCCAAAACTCCCCATTTTGTATTAAACTTGTACAATACCATAAACATTAATCATATCATACCATCTAGTAGTAACGCCATTTAGTCTATTTCATAAAAAAATCCACTCGAAAATAACCTGATATAGACATAGGGCATGGCATCACTTTTTATTCAATTTGAGCAAAAATGATTTTCCTATAAAATGTTAAGCAATGTTACTTCATTCTAAGCAAAAGCTAATCTTAGGAATTAATTTCCATGCTTCAAAGCAAGCTATTAATAGATTAAATATATCTCTTTACTGGTTACGATGGTTACTGCATTAATTATCATAATCATGCTCCCTAAACAGAAAAAAATCTTCAGTATATAAAAAAATTTGGTAAAATATCACATTTAAAGCATAAATTGATATTAGGTAAGGTTTTGTACATCAATAATATGTTTACGTATTTAAATTGCACAGAATAAAGTTAAGTCATTTGAAACAAAATAAAAATTACTAAAAAAAAAGGACGGATTACTTCTAAATATGTTCTATATCACATTTAATAAAAATCACTTGTATACTATCCCCTAACATTATTATTTTTTCTACTTTTAATTTCTATAGGTTATACCTAGTACTTATTAATAAGAAACAGGACGGACATTCTGTATACTCTTATAGGTAAAGTGGGTATGAGAAAAATAAAAATAAAACAGAAAAAAACTATATATCTATATACATATCACAGATAACAGGGGAAATGTGTATTCAATATATTTTTTATATATATGTAAATATAATATTTATAATATGAAAACATTTATATATAAACAATGGCCGATTCACATCAAGGAAATTAATCTCATTGAAATTTTGTTTCTATGACAACTGTGTGTGGGTTACACCACAATGCGGTTACATGTATATATTAAAATTTAAACTTCTAAAATGTTGGCTTTAAACAACCAATGTTGTATCTCCAAAAACATGAATTTCAAAATAAAATCCACAAGAATGTTTACTTGATTCAGATCATTTCAATCCAGATTAATTTACCTCTAATGTGAAGAAGTCAAAAAGGGGAATGTATTAAATAACAGAAAAATATAACAATGATTGTTTAGTGCTCTGTGTCCTAACTACAATAAAAACACTAATGGCCATGGAATACCTAATGATTAAGGCGATTTTAAATAAAACAGAATCTTTAAGGCAGCTTATATACATTTATGCATTTTTTACACAATGCTGTTTTATAGTCATACAATTTGAAATTCCTCACCAAAAAAAACGGATATCACAGTAGACTACTTCAATTTTTAAATATTCGACAAAAAGTCAACCTTTTTGGTAATTAGTCAAAACTTAAATGTAAATCTTTTTTTCATAATGGGATCAAAACTTTAATTTATTTCAAATTTGCAATTTTTTTAGTTTAAATTTTTCCAATTAAAGATATGTGTGTCTGGCCTATTTTTATCTAACTGAGCACATACATGACAGAGTTCCGACAAAGTAACAAAATTTATTGTCCATGTACATATAAATTATATGATATGATAGCTATATACAAAATAATAGTCTGGGATTAGTACCTCCTTCTTCAACACACAGTGATGAGTGAAATGTGGAGTCCTGTTCCAAAGCCCAATTGCGCTGTCCTTCTCAATTCGCTTCCTAGAGAAAAACAGAAAATAAAAATGCGTCAACACACACCAACACAGCAAACACAAGCAGTAGCCATAGTAACAGGTCAGTGCTTCACTTCAAACATACCCTTTACCCTGACTGTTAACATATCAACTGTTACCATGGCGATAGCTATTTATAAATAAGTTAGACATTTGTACAGCAGCATATAATTTAACATTAGCAGCCATGTATTCTTTGCATACACATTATGGTTAATTTCAAAACATTTTTTTATAAGTTGTGTTAAGTGTTAGCGTTATTATCAGGTCCAGAATCTGGGCCAGCTGTGGGCTTATTATCAGTTGGCTGTTGGTTAGGGTCAGCAGAGGGCTTGTTATCCCCAGCAGGGGGTTTGTTATCCCCAGCAGGGGGTTTGTTATCTCCAGCAGGGGGTTTGTTGTCACCAGCAGAGGGTTTGTTATCACCAGCAGGGGGCTTGTTATCACCAGCAGGGGGCTTGCTATCCCCAGGAGGTGGCTTTTTATCTCCAGCTGGGGGTTTATTATCCCCTGTCGCTGGATTACTGTCACCAACAGGAGGCTTTTTACTATCCCCAGCAGGAGGTTTACTGTCTGGACCAGAAGGCTTGGCATCTGGACCCGCTAATGGTTTAGCATTAGGGTCTGCTGGTTTGGTGTCTGGTCCAGAAGTTTTCACATCGTCCCCTGTATTAACATCAGTCTTTTTATTTGGATCAGATCCTTTAGTGTCTTTTACATTTGGTGTATTTTTGGCATCAGTGCCTGGGGTGGGTTTGGTGTCAGGTTTAGAATCTGTTGACCCTGGCTTTGCTCCATTAGGTGCAGGACGTGCATTGTGCATAGGTGGGGGAACAGTTCCAGAATTGTTCTGTCCACTGGCGTCTGATTCCTGTGATTATAAAAAGGTGTAAAATTACTGTATTTAAATAAATATAATGAAAGAATAGCACTTCACTGAACTAAGTAATATAGGGAAGATAACTTATAAATTATCTACCTTTGGTTCTTAGATATTTATTCTCTAAAATTTAAAAAAAAAAACAGAATTTCCCAACTATCAGCTGATACAAACACAATGTTATCCAGAGTAAATGTAAATGTTCATGTGTTTGAATGGGCTGATAATTGGATAAATTAGTTTTTTGAAATTTCAAGAGAAAACTAATGATAAAGAACCAAGGGGAGTTGATTTATGGATTATCTCCCCTATGTTACTTGGTTATAAATGAATGTCTTTTTTGAATGTGTGAATACATCTAAACAAATGACTGCTGATGGAATTATTCTGCTGTGTACGGAAAAGAAAATTGCTTTTCATTAAACTTTTAAAATTATTTGAATTAAATATTTTTTTCTCCAGAATTTCTAATACTGATATACATTGTATCTATAGAAACTTAAAACCTTAGTATTTTCCTCCATATATCACATTTTATCATTTTAAACCTTTTAATTATTTTTTTTATCTCTCTGATAATCTGATTGAGATTTTATTACTTCATCAAATACTGAAAACCGAATTTCTGAAATAGAAAAAATGCATGAGAAACAAGACAACATCCACATTTTGACTAAACACATGTGAACATAAAAACTTCCATTAAAAACTGCCATTCTTGACTCTTGTTTTATTTTAATTCAGCACAGAATGCATTCTAGCTAGTTCACATATATTTAATAATCAAAATGCAGATAAATGTGCAACATGCAATGTAAACAAGTAAACAAAAACATGAATACAACAATCATTCCAATGTGTGACCAGTAACAGTTATTGTTGACTAACAAACACCTTTTGAAAGGGAAACAGGTATACAATTCCCATTCTAATAGATGGACATTAAGACATACTTATCCAAATTTTCTTAAAAATGATATTACCCTTTCTTTTTTATGTTCTAGGCTACAGTAGTATTTATATCTACGGTAAATGAAAATAACACATTATTAATTTTTTGAATTGGAAGCACTTTCCTGGATGTCCCTTCCCTTCAGAGACTGGCTTAAACTTAAACATTTGAAAGCGAGGGATGTAAAAATATGTAGAAACATTAGGAGTATATGGCTGACAGGGATCTTAAAAGAATGACCATATTCATCTACAGTCAATTTTGCCTAAGGATTTGGAACCTTAAGTTCCGTAATAATTTTTTCGTGGGGAATTTAAGAAATGAATCTGATAAATCATTACAGAACCAGCGCAATGATTATGGAGCTGATGATTAAAATGCACCATACAGAAAGAGGAAATATTTTTTTCAATGAAACTGCTCTTATTTCTTATTCTTAAATTGTTGATACTTAGTTTCTATGTGTCAAACAAGAATGCCAGTATATACATGCAAACATATTTGTTTTGTCACTTGTGTGACAAATTTTTGGCAATGTTAACAAAAAATCCCATCTAAAAATATCCTTAATCAGATGCAGATCCAGGATTTTGAAAAAGGGGGGTTTGGGGGGCCCCAAACTAAGCAATGTTTGGAGTGGAACATGGAAAAAGTCTGCTATAACCATAAATGTAGCTCCATAAGGGGGGCTATGTTTTTTAAGGTGCATTCCCTATAAATAATTTATAAAATGCTATGGTCAATATGGGAACCAAAGTGTGACTTATTGTAAATGCAAATGTCCAAAACCTCTACACAGCCTGGTATAACCTGTTTCCCATTTGTGCACATTGTTAGTATAAAAACCACATCCTACCAATATTTTCTATCAAATCATTTTATTTTGGTTTCTGGGGAAGGGAAATAACTCTGTCATCAATTTGAATTTTAAGTCAGGAAAATTATATATTTCTAAAAATATTTCAAACTTATTAAATATCATGACAAAAAAAATTGCATATATATAAAAAAATAAAATTTTAGACATATTAGCTGAAATGAAAATATATAATGAAACAGATTATGTGTTTTTAAAGTATTTTACCTATCTAGATTTTTATTAATGAAATAAATATAAAACTTTAATTTCTTTCAATAAAACTTCAATTTCTTTCAACAACAATTTTTACAGAACATTATATGCAAAGAGAGAAAGATTTCTTCATAATATTAAACAGTATGATCAAATAAAGGCAAATATATAATACATAATATATACATATAAACATATATATATAATTTGGCACAATATATAACAAATATTACTATTTTTTTCTATAATATGCATAATAATTCTAACAAATCCAACAATATATAAAATATTTGATTAAAAATACGCCAAGCAAAAATAAATTTCTCTGCCTATAATATCGGCAATACACTGAGTTTAAAATTCACCATATATTTATACAAGAAAATCTACCAATATTACCAAACAAAATATCATAGTTCACTATACAAGTAACGGATTTGCAAGCAATATTGATTGGTTTTCCACAGTGAATTTCACCCCAGTGTAAAACAAGCCTTCTATGCATCGAGCAAATTAGAGTTATCTCCCTCTAATTTTAAACTAATCTCTAATGTAGCCATTCTAAATAATTCTCTTTGTTCAACTATTAGCTATTGAAATGTTAAGAGTGATACATAAGAAAATGGCACTCTAAGTGATCCCTTTCACGTCTAGAAAAAGCCTGGCCTTGTGCAAAAACTACCATCTGTATAAATATATATACAAATATTACCTTATACAGATCACGAATTCTGTAAAATTGAATTAAAACCGCATTTTTTAATATGGAACAATAGAATATGATAAAATTAACATTTTAAACTTTTAACTTTACACGAGTGCCAGAAAAGAAAGATATTTCATTTTTAATTTCAACTTAATAAAATTTGTAGACAACTTTGCAACTTGAGAGCAATTCAAATTTTCATAAATAAAACTACGATGCAAATTATTTATAGATCTGATAAAATTCAACAAATATCAATAGATAAATATTTCTATAATTTCCGTTCATTTTCAAGTAAGGGTAAATAATCAAAATGAGATCAACGAAGCATGTACTTACCCTAATAATAAATAAAAATAAATAAATAGGCCAAAGAAAACAAAATATGTATTTCCTGTTGCCTTAATTCTACCCCCTCCTCCCCCCTTTTTTTTATGGCAACCTAAAACACTTTTAGCAAATGTCAGACATGTATTAATTTTTGTGAACATCATTTCCTACATATGACTTTATAAAAATAATCATTGAAAAATTTGACCCAACTTTTTATTCTCCTGCAACAGGAAACACACATATTTATATCTATTGGCCATAATATTGTACAAAATGGCTAATTTACATAACGAATAAGGATACTTTTAAATCATATATAAGTATCCCTTTAGTAATTCTCAACTACATTATAATAACAAATTCTCACTAAATAGTACAGTTTACAATGATATAACCATGCTATTTTCCTATTAATTCAATAATAATATAAAAAATCACAATAAATATACATATATTTACATGCATACATAAGAAAAACAATCATGATGAAGTTTTAATATGTATAAACGGACATCAAAAAAGATCTGTAAGCTTTTAGCAATCTCTTGAACAAAAAAATACAAAAAGTAATAAATTTCTTGACTCAACGATATATTTTTTTTTGTAGCAGTGAGGACTGAAATACATCATTTAATGCACATAAAATGTTTCTTCCAGGAAATTGTACTTACATTACATTTTAATATACCATTGGAATTGCATCATCTACTTACAGTTGTGTTTTGAGACACATGTTCCCTTTTGGGGGTTTGAAAAAGTATCTATTGTTCATAATTATTTGACAAGTTTTTTCAAGTTGATTTCTCATACATGTAGTTTGTCAATTAAAAAGGAACAATAGAATATTTAAGCCTGATGCTGAGATCATCTGCTCAAAGGTACAACCTAGTCCAGATGAACTTAGATCAGATGAGGTTTTAATGGTTTATTTTGATGCAGTGTAATAGTAGTAAGGGAATAATGAAACATAAAATGAAAATGCATAAATGTATGAACAACAAGAAATGATTGTAACAGGATGCTGTTACGAAGTCTCCCAAACGAAGCTCCCATAATTCGAAATTCCCAGTGTCGCCTGACATTGGACAAAATCCAGTGAAAATTGGTTTGGTCCAGTAAAGTATATGCATTAGTGATGCCTGGGGACTAACCCTGTATATCATTCAAATCATCTTGACATGACAAACCAGAATATATATGGTTTAGGGGTGGGGATCTCGATCATTTACAAGATACTAGAACATTGGGGGTGGGGGGAACCCCTGGGGACTGACCCTATACATCATTCAAATGTTCGAGACACGACGAACAGGAATATATATGGTTAAGGGGTGGGGATCCTGACCATTTACAAGATATTAGAACATTGGGGGTGGGGGGAACCCCTGGGGACTGACCGTATACGTCATTCAAATGTTCCAGACATGATGAACAGGAATATATATGGTTTAGGGGTTGGGATCTCGACCATTTACAAGATATATGAACTTTCTCAAATGGCAGGGGGTCGGGATGACCCCTGGGGACTAACCCTGTATATCATTCAAACCATCTTGGTATGACAAACCAGAATATATATGGTTTAGGGGTGGGGATCTTGACCACTTACAAGATATTAGAACTTTCTTAAATAGCAGGGGATGGGGGTGACCCCTGGGGACTAGCCCTCTATATCATTAAAACCATCTTCGCATGACAAACCAGAATATATATGGTTTAGGGGTGGGGATCTTGACCACTTACAAGATATTAGAACTTTCTTAAATGGCAGGGGGTGGGGATGACCCCTGGGGACTAACCCTGTATTTCATTTGATGTGCTTTATCATGACAAACCAGAATATATATGGTTTAGGGGTGGGGATCTGGACCATTTACAAGATATTAGAACTTTCTCAAATGGCAGGGGGTCGGGATGACCCCTGGGGA